GCGCATGGGAGCGCCACAACGGCACAGTCGCGATGGCAGCGCAAACCCCGCGTTGTGCACGGAAGCCGCTGAGCGGCGCACACGCAAGATGCACGCAGTTACACCCTCGTGCACGTGCACGTGCACACACGTACGGAGAGGGAGGGAGAGAGAAGGCGACACCGCTCCACACACAACATCTTCACACGCCCACGCAGCGCCGACGTGGCGTTCGCCCTCGGTCGGCACCTCTTCGGGGACGGCACCTCACACCCAGCGCGTCGCTCCCTCGCTTCCCGGCCTCGTTGGTTGCTTGACTTCATTTAAAACGGCACGTGCAGGCGCGAACGCGTACACGTGCGGGTACATACAGCTTTGTTTGCCCTTCTTCCAGTTGGCACACACGTACACAGAGAGAGAACGAAAAGGAACGACACGGACGTGCGTGGGTGCGGCTCATGGAGGGGGAACCCAGCCACGGCGAGCGGCTGCACTGGTCAGGCAACGAGCATGAAAGGCAGGTGCAGCCACGCGCGCACGTGGAGGACGCCCCAGAAAACACCAAAAAAAACCCGCGTTGACGGAGGGAAAAAAAAGGGCGAAAGAAGAAGGCGAGGAATGCGCACACACCGCTGCGTCGTCTTCCCCCATGAGAGCCGCACACCGCAGCGAGTGCAGAGAGCACAGAGAGAGAAACAGCGAGGGGCAAAGGGGCAGACGAAGCCCCACGTGAAATAGAAGGCGGCCCACCCGCGCGTTTCCGTCTCTCTCTCACACACACGCACCGCGGCAACTGTCGGAAGAGACGAAGAAGAGAAAAAAGAATCGCTGAACACACAGACACGCACGCACGAGGTGTCTGGGGCTCAGAGACACCTTAGTACTCCTCCACATCCTCCTCACCCATGTCGTCGGCAGACTCCGCACCAACCTCCTCGTAGTCCTTCTCCAGCGCAGCAAGATCCTCGCGCGCCTCGGAGAACTCGCCCTCCTCCATACCCTCACCGACGTACCAGTGCACGAAAGCACGCTTACTGTACATCAGATCGAACTTGTGGTCGATGCGGGCGAACACCTCCGCGATGGCGGTGGAGTTGGCAATCATGCACACGGCGCGCTGCACCTTGGCGAGGTCACCGCCGGGCACAACGGTCGGCGGCTGGTAGTTAATGCCGCACTTGAAGCCGGTGGGGCACCAGTCTACAAATTGGATAGTGCGCTTAGTTTTGATGGTGGCGATCGCAGCGTTCACATCCTTCGGCACCACATCACCGCGGTACATCAGGCAGCACGACATGTACTTGCCGTGACGAGGATCGCACTTCGTCAGCATGCCGGCCGGCTCAAACACGGAGTTCGTGATGTCGGCAACGGACAGCTGCTCGTGGTACGCCTTCTCGGCGGACACGACCGGCGCGTAGCTCGTCAGCACGAAGTGGATGCGCGGGTACGGCACCAGGTTGGTCTGGAACTCCGTCAGATCCACGTTCAGCGCACCGTCGAAGCGCAGGGAGGCAGTCAGCGAGGACACCACCTGGCCGATCAGACGGTTCACGTTCGTGTACGACGGGCGCTCGATGTCCAGGCTGCGGCGGGTGAGGTCGTAAATCGCCTCGTTGTCCAGCATCGTCGCAACATCGGTGTGCTCGAGCAGCGAGTGCGTCGAGAGCACGCAGTTGTACGGCTCGACCACCGCCGTGGACACCTGCGGGCTCGGGTACACGGTGTAGCCAAGCTTGGACTTCTTGCCGTAGTCCACGGAGAGGCGCTCAAGGAGCAGCGCACCAAGACCAGAGCCCGTGCCGCCACCGACGGCGTGGAACACCATGAAGCCCTGGAGACCCGTGCAGTTGTCCGCAAGCTTGCGAATGCGGTCCAGCGCAAGGTCCACGATCTCCTTGCCAATCGTGTAGTGGCCACGAGCGTAGTTGTTCGCGGCGTCCTCCTTGCCGGAGACGAGCTGCTCGGGGTTGAACAGCTGGCGGTAGGTGCCGGTGCGCACCTCATCGACAACCGTCGGCTCCAAGTCAAGGTACAGAGCGCGCGGCACGTGCTTGCCGGCACCAGTCTCGGAGAAGAACGTGTTGAAGGCGTCGTCCTCCACACCGATGCTCTTGTCGGACGGCATGGAGCCATCAGGCTGAATGCCGTGCTCAAGGCAGAACAGCTCCCAGCACGCGTTACCAACCTGGCAACCGGCCTGGCCAATGTGAATGCAGATAGCCTCACGCATCTTGGAAAGGGTAGAAAAAGAGAAAGAGAGAGAGTGTGTTATAAGTTTGAAGAAGGCGTAAAGCTGTGGGGGGTGGGTGTCGGCGGCGGCGGAGACGGAGGGTTTGTTTTCCAGTGGGGGTGTGTGTGAAACGGCGTTCACCGGAAAGTGCAAACGCGTTAGGGCACGTTCGTTTTGTGTGGTGCGGGTTTGTGCACGAGTGAGGCGGGCATCGGGGGGAGAGGAGAAAGTGTGGGAGAGGGAGGCACAGAGGAGGCGCGCCCGCACGAAGCGTGTGCGCTGTGTGACCTCGGCATGGTATCCGCAATTCGTGAGAATCGGCACAGTTCGTGTTCATCGGCGAGTGTGTTTGCATGTGTGGGGTTGCGGTGGAGCGCTCTTCACTCTCTTGGTGCGCTGCGTGCAAGCACGGCGCACATCCAAACATAAAACAAATAAATAAAGCAGACGCGGGCAGCGAGAGCAGCGAAGGAGCACGTTTATTATGTTGCTTTCTAGTGCTGTTTCGCTGCGTGCTCCGCGCATCCCGCGGCACGGTTTCCGTCCGCGATTATTGGGTCGTCTCCCTCTCCCAATGTGCTGATCCCATTGAAGAGGTTCAGCCTATTTGGAGTACGTATCTCTCAGCTCCTATGCCGGACGCACCACAGTGCTACCAACAGCCTTCTGTAGAGTAGGAATAGACGAGGTACGCGTTGCGTGTGCGTGGCCGCTCGATGCTCCCTTGCACACACACACGCTGACCCTCCGTAGGGTTCTAGGTGCATGCAATCATCATTTCTTTCACACCGCTTGACGGAACTAGAAGCGATTCAGCTTGGGTACTTCCTCGGGAGCTGGATTTCTGTACTGGTGCCGTCGCCTCATGCATTGCGGTGGTGCATGCGTAAACCACTCCTTTGGTTCGAGTCCGTGCTGGACGGGTTGTGGTATCGATTGACAGGGTGCGCTGCGATTGCGGTAGTGCGTGCCACACCACCTGGCCTCCTTCTTTCGCACTACGCGTCAGTCCGCCTTCTGCCCTCCCCACGTTTTAGTTCTCTCTTTCGCGTGAGCCACTATTACCGCCTTTTGTGTACTCCATCCACTAACCCTCCCAGCTCCATCGGCAATGCCTCATTCGCCTCGTGCTGGCCGCCGGAACCGTGCTCCTGAACAGCAGCAGCAGCAAGTTGGGACGCAACGCCCTTCTAAGCGCTCCACTGCTTCAGCCCGCCCACCGTCTGGCCACCGCGACGCGACAGCGCGCACTGCCAGCCGCGTGCCCCGTAACGCACGACGCACCACTGACGCCCGTAACAAATCTCGTCCCGCCTCACAGCGCCAGCGGAACTCTGCCCCAGACCGCCCCGTGGTGGGGTTGGTAGGGGGTGTACAGTTTCGATGCCCCCACATGCCTTTGTTCCAGAGTACCTTACATTGGGACTACACATGTCGGTACAGCCGTAGCAGTCTCGTTGACTTTGTGTTTAGCGTCACCTTCGCCCTATCTACGATACGCACGCAAAGTTTAAGCGAGCACGGCAATTTTTGCGAACGGCTGTTTGCCATCGCCTCCTCGGAGGTGGAGAAGAGTGGCGATAAGTATCGCCAGCTCCTTCGGGGTAATAGTGTGAGGGCTTCACGTCAACTTCAACGTGACCCCACTGTTGCTCCCGCATCTCCCTCCGCCGCCATATCTGCTGCCGCTCCTGCCGCGTTATCTGTTGCCACGTACGATTCATTTGGCTTCGATACGCGTTACTTTCCGCAGATTTTTTGGTGTGAGGTGCCGCGCTGTTTTGAGGTGTTTCACGATCAGTTCTCGGCACGGTCGCATACGTGCAACGACCACGAACAGTGGTTTAAGGGCATCGTTACTTCCATTGTCCATAACAGTGCGGAGTACCGATCGCATGCGGCCTTCGTTGCGGATCAGGAACAAGCCCTTCGCCTCGCCCGGCTGCAGCTGAGCGAGTGTGTGCAGAGGCAGACGACACGAATCCGCAAGGATTTCGTTGAAGGAAACCCTCTGCCTCGCCCGCCCGCTGCTTCAGCTTCCTCCGCATCTCGGACCGCACAGCGCGGGACTGTGCGCAACTCCGTTTCGAATGCCCGCTCCTCAGCTGTGGGCTCGCGTCGCAACCGCTCGCAGGAGAGTGAAGCGGAAGCTTATGGTGGGCCATCTCTTGTAGACGATGAGGAATCTCCGCCTGTCCCTGATGCCCCTGCTATTTCTTCCCCTCGCTCAGAACGCCCTCAGTAGGGCGCAGAGAGGGGCGCCCGCCAACTATGCCCTCTCACCAGCGTTCATTGACACCGACGTTGGTTTCATTGCCCCCTCTGCGCATCGGCACCTGGAATGTACGTGGTCTGTCTGATCCTGTTGTTCGTTTTCTTTGCGACTCCGCACTTACCTCGTGGTACCCAGACATTTGGTGCTTCCAAGAACTACATCAAGCCGCACCGCTTAATCTGGGCAGCTTTGCTGCGTGGGGCAGCGCCGTGTTCGCTCCCCGCTCGGACTCGCCGCTACACGGCGGTGGCCTTGCTATTGCGGTGAACAAAGACACCTACGATATCGAAATGCGCGAACCTGGAGATACCTTTGACTTCGGAAACCGTGCGGGGTGGCGTTGTGCAGATGTCACGGACCACATTGCGAAGCGTCGCCATTGCATCCTACATGTACACCTTCGTCCCGAAGTTACCTATTGACTTCCGCACTCTTTGCCGCTATCATGTCTCGCATCAAACCGGACATTCTATGTGGCGACCTCAACGCTCGCGATGTGTCTTGGGGTCCGGGTCAATATGCGCAGGACACTGGCGGCTGTACACGTGGAGACGACGCCTCGCCCGTTGGAGTGGCCACTGCGGCCTTCCGCAGTCCGTGTCCGTGACCGGCGTGGCTCCAACGACGACAGCGTTGAAGAGTGCAGTGGGATTCTTTCATCCTGTCGCGACGAGCGCGCGTTGGGCCGGACACCGTGTGGGGACTTCGTCCGACTCCCCACAGGCGACTAGCCGATACAGGGGAGCACTGAGCGACCACCACCCCTGCTCTTGTAGACATACCGACACGCACGCACCCTACCGTCGCCCGCCGTGCACGCCGGGTAAAGCGGGATCTGCTTCTCCCAGAGCTTCTAGAGCGGGGTACGCGGCTGGTGGAGCGCACGCCGCCGTACAGCGCACTCGCGGTACCAGGCAATGCGGCACGTGGTCCGGACACTGCCGCGCACATGGGAGGGCGATTCCCTTTGCACGAACAGCGCAGAGGGGAAGGAGAGAGCGAGAAGAGGAGAGAGGAGTGATGATGAGCAAGGGGGGTGGTGGAGGGGGTGCGCATGGGAGCGCCACAACGGCACAGTCGCGATGGCAGCGCAAACCCCGCGTTGTGCACGGAAGCCGCTGAGCGGCGCACACGCAAGATGCACGCAGTTACACCCTCGTGCACGTGCACGTGCACACACGTACGGAGAGGGAGGGAGAGAGAAGGCGACACCGCTCCACACACAACATCTTCACACGCCCACGCAGCGCCGACGTGGCGTTCGCCCTCGGTCGGCACCTCTTCGGGGACGGCACCTCACACCCAGCGCGTCGCTCCCTCGCTTCCCGGCCTCGTTGGTTGCTTGACTTCATTTAAAACGGCACGTGCAGGCGCGAACGCGTACACGTGCGGGTACATACAGCTTTGTTTGCCCTTCTTCCAGTTGGCACACACGTACACAGAGAGAGAACGAAAAGGAACGACACGGACGTGCGTGGGTGCGGCTCATGGAGGGGGAACCCAGCCACGGCGAGCGGCTGCACTGGTCAGGCAACGAGCATGAAAGGCAGGTGCAGCCACGCGCGCACGTGGAGGACGCCCCAGAAAACACCAAAAAAAACCCGCGTTGACGGAGGGAAAAAAAAGGGCGAAAGAAGAAGGCGAGGAATGCGCACACACCGCTGCGTCGTCTTCCCCCATGAGAGCCGCACACCGCAGCGAGTGCAGAGAGCACAGAGAGAGAAACAGCGAGGGGCAAAGGGGCAGACGAAGCCCCACGTGAAATAGAAGGCGGCCCACCCGCGCGTTTCCGTCTCTCTCTCACACACACGCACCGCGGCAACTGTCGGAAGAGACGAAGAAGAGAAAAAAGAATCGCTGAACACACAGACACGCACGCACGAGGTGTCTGGGGCTCAGAGACACCTTAGTACTCCTCCACATCCTCCTCACCCATGTCGTCGGCAGACTCCGCACCAACCTCCTCGTAGTCCTTCTCCAGCGCAGCAAGATCCTCGCGCGCCTCGGAGAACTCGCCCTCCTCCATACCCTCACCGACGTACCAGTGCACGAAAGCACGCTTACTGTACATCAGATCGAACTTGTGGTCGATGCGGGCGAACACCTCCGCGATGGCGGTGGAGTTGGCAATCATGCACACGGCGCGCTGCACCTTGGCGAGGTCACCGCCGGGCACAACGGTCGGCGGCTGGTAGTTAATGCCGCACTTGAAGCCGGTGGGGCACCAGTCTACAAATTGGATAGTGCGCTTAGTTTTGATGGTGGCGATCGCAGCGTTCACATCCTTCGGCACCACATCACCGCGGTACATCAGGCAGCACGACATGTACTTGCCGTGACGAGGATCGCACTTCGTCAGCATGCCGGCCGGCTCAAACACGGAGTTCGTGATGTCGGCAACGGACAGCTGCTCGTGGTACGCCTTCTCGGCGGACACGACCGGCGCGTAGCTCGTCAGCACGAAGTGGATGCGCGGGTACGGCACCAGGTTGGTCTGGAACTCCGTCAGATCCACGTTCAGCGCACCGTCGAAGCGCAGGGAGGCAGTCAGCGAGGACACCACCTGGCCGATCAGACGGTTCACGTTCGTGTACGACGGGCGCTCGATGTCCAGGCTGCGGCGGGTGAGGTCGTAAATCGCCTCGTTGTCCAGCATCGTCGCAACATCGGTGTGCTCGAGCAGCGAGTGCGTCGAGAGCACGCAGTTGTACGGCTCGACCACCGCCGTGGACACCTGCGGGCTCGGGTACACGGTGTAGCCAAGCTTGGACTTCTTGCCGTAGTCCACGGAGAGGCGCTCAAGGAGCAGCGCACCAAGACCAGAGCCCGTGCCGCCACCGACGGCGTGGAACACCATGAAGCCCTGGAGACCCGTGCAGTTGTCCGCAAGCTTGCGAATGCGGTCCAGCGCAAGGTCCACGATCTCCTTGCCAATCGTGTAGTGGCCACGAGCGTAGTTGTTCGCGGCGTCCTCCTTGCCGGAGACGAGCTGCTCGGGGTTGAACAGCTGGCGGTAGGTGCCGGTGCGCACCTCATCGACAACCGTCGGCTCCAAGTCAAGGTACAGAGCGCGCGGCACGTGCTTGCCGGCACCAGTCTCGGAGAAGAACGTGTTGAAGGCGTCGTCCTCCACACCGATGCTCTTGTCGGACGGCATGGAGCCATCAGGCTGAATGCCGTGCTCAAGGCAGAACAGCTCCCAGCACGCGTTACCAACCTGGCAACCGGCCTGGCCAATGTGAATGCAGATAGCCTCACGCATCTTGGAAAGGGTAGAAAAAGAGAAAGAGAGAGAGTGTGTTATAAGTTTGAAGAAGGCGTAAAGCTGTGGGGGGTGGGTGTCGGCGGCGGCGGAGACGGAGGGTTTGTTTTCCAGTGGGGGTGTGTGTGAAACGGCGTTCACCGGAAAGTGCAAACGCGTTAGGGCACGTTCGTTTTGTGTGGTGCGGGTTTGTGCACGAGTGAGGCGGGCATCGGGGGGAGAGGAGAAAGTGTGGGAGAGGGAGGCACAGAGGAGGCGCGCCCGCACGAAGCGTGTGCGCTGTGTGACCTCGGCATGGTATCCGCAATTCGTGAGAATCGGCACAGTTCGTGTTCATCGGCGAGTGTGTTTGCATGTGTGGGGTTGCGGTGGAGCGCTCTTCACTCTCTTGGTGCGCTGCGTGCAAGCACGGCGCACATCCAAACATAAAACAAATAAATAAAGCAGACGCGGGCAGCGAGAGCAGCGAAGGAGCACGTTTATTATGTTGCTTTCTCGCAACGCATGGACCTTTCATGCCTTTCGAGACGTTGAGTTCAGCTTCAAATACAGTTTTTGCTTTCTCCTGTAGTTGGTGCAGGCGCATGTTGGCGCACGTGCCACGCGCAGGAGCACGCCACACTTTTCCGCCGCTGTTCAACGGTGTTTGCAGAACACGCTGGCACACACCGGAGTCGAAAAGAATGCGCGGGCGCCTCGAGGGCTCGCTCTTTCGATCTGCCGTGTTGCGATGCGGCGTACACGTGGGGAACGTGGGTCGTTGCTGCTGACGGTTAATGTCTCACCTCACCCGCCGTCAGAAAGACACACAATGGCCTCGAACAGTGCCCGCGGCGGACAACACTTTCAGCCCGTCCACGCAGGCGAGTGCACCGCAGATCCCACGTAGTGCTGCAGCGCATGCGGCAGATGCCAAACAATAGCAGAGAAAATGAAAAGCAGATATGTGTCGCGCCTTGAAAGGTAACTCAAAATACATCGCACACACACATGCTCAGTGATTCTGCGGATTCGAACACGGAAACAAACGAAACTACTTTCAGTATTGACGCACGACAGCAGCGTATAGTGAAGGGGCAACGACTTCTAATCTAACAGTCCGCGCTCCGCAACTTCGCAAGTTCATCGTCCAAGTCGCGAAGGGCATCCTCCTCCGCCGCGAGCAGCTCATCCACCGCGCTGCGCCTCTCCTCTGCCCGCTCCGCCGCACGCTCCAGTTCGTGCCGCAGCGCATGCATGGCAGACGACGCCGGCACGAGCGCGGTGCGGAGAGCACGCATGTCTGTCTCGGCCGCACACAGCGCTTGCACGTACACTCGCGCATCGCTGAGGTACCGTGTCGATTCCGCAGCTGCGTCCTCGTCCTCGCGCACGCGGTCACGCAGTGCAGCACCGCCCGCACGCAGCGCCGCGACATCCGCCTCCATTTCACGCCGCCGGATCTGCGCCTCCAGCGCGAGTGCTTCGGTCTGCCGGAGGTGGTGCGCAAAGACGTCCTCCAGCGGCGAGCGGACCGTCTCATTGCTGCCACCGCGGTGGTCGGCCGTTGATTCAATGGTTGCTTTCACCGCGCCGTCCCGCTGCGGGGACAGGAGGGCCTGCCGCAACCCGCTCCGCTCCACCACGGCCGTATCGGTGCTCTGTTCCGCCGTTGCCGCCGCCGCCTCCACTTCCAGCATCGCCGGCAGCTCGGGGTACTGCGAGCACAGACGCCGCCATCGCTTCTCATCCCTGTTGCACGCCCACGCCGACGGGAGGCACGCCCGGCACGCAGCCAGCACCCCACGCAGCCCGATCTTCGCACGCACTCCAAGCGGCAGCGCAGATGTGTAGCGCGCGCACGTCTTCAGCACGTCCAACACGGTCGCCGTCGTCACCGCGGCAGCCAATGCATCGCCCACCACGTGTGCGTGCCGCAGCAGCTCGAACTTTACACACGCCTCGTACAGGGACAGGAGGTGACGCAGCGCGTCTCGCCGTTGCACCGCCGATGTCGTCGTTGCCTCCGTACACGCCGTCTGCAGCGCCCAGAAGGGGCCGTCGTCGCCGTGCTGATTACTGTGGCAGAGACGCAGGGCAGCCTCCGCCGCAGCGCCCGTCACGTGCTTCAGCACTACCGTATTGTTGTTGATGCCGACAGCGTCGCTGTTCGAAGCCGCCGCGTGCGCCGTGAAGTACGCTTTAAAAAACGGCGTGTGCCGCATCAGGCGCCGCTTCGAGAAGTAGAGCGTGTGAGCGCCATCCTCCACCACAAAGCTGACGATGTCATCCGCCTCCTCGCAGGACGCGTCGTGGCTTGTGTGCAGTTGCTGAGGTGTCGTCATCCAGTGCAGCGATAAGGAAAAGGGAAAGGGGAAGGGTGTGCTCGAGTGAATGGACAATTAACGTCTTTTGTTGTTATAGTGGGAGGACTACTGGAGGCGGAACACACATACACACACAAACTGGAGAGAAGGAACCAAAGCGCGCCGCGCAGTCTTCGTTGAATCTACACTATTCCATTGCAGTGAATAAAACACGCTAGAGAAGAGGAGAAGAGGAGAAGAGGAGTGGAGAGCAGTGCAACAGCAAAAAACCTGCTACTGCTGACAAATGAAGCAACAGGTTCGAGTGGCGTTGTCAAACTTGGCGGGTGTGTGGATTTACGCCGTCGCCTACAGAAACGTCGTAAACGGTTGAATAGCAGCAACATAAAACGTGAAAGTGTGAGCGGTTTATCCTTCTCGTATGCGTGCACCGCTTCACGTCGTGCAGAGTGACCATCGTACTGCGATTGAGTGCGTTTGTCCGGTGAGTCGTCGCTTCTGCGCTGGCGATCTACTACGTTGCGTTCTTCGTGTTGTATGGTATCCCTCCTGCTATACTGCAGTCGTCGGCGTGCGACGTGTCACGGGGGAGGGGGGACTGCAGACATCGCCGGACTCTCTTACCACGCTCGCAGCTCACTGCCACGCATGTCTCCGCCATCACCGACCCAAAGACCGGCACACACGGCACAACAGAAGCCTGGCGCGCACTGAGCAAGACACACGACGGCGTCTCTCCGTGTACTCCGCTCTACGATGCAGTCAGAGAAGCCTTGCTGGAGACGCCGCGAGCAAAGGCCGAGGAACTCAACAGAGTGTTTACGGTGAAACACTCGAGTACCACTACCTCGCACATGGGACCTCCGAGCCCGGTGGAGTTCCCCTTCACTGCCCGCGCTCCGAGTATTCCTACTCTCCACGGTTCCGAGCAGAAGTACATGGGAGTGGTGATGGACTCTTCTCTGACGCATGGGCCGCATCTCAGGTCGCTAACGACTGAAGGGGACGGAGTTCCTCAGAGGGCTATCGCCCCTGCTGCCGCACCTACATCCAAGAAGGGCACGAGGTGAGGCTTTCACCGGAGCTGAAGTCATGTTCCTCGAGATCCCGTTGACTCTCCAAAGGGTCGCCGCGACAAACGCGCAGGCAATCCCTCTACCCGTTAGAGGTCGGCTCGTCAGGGAGGGCGGCATTGCGGCCAAACCGACCAACGTTGCGGATGCATTGGGTGAGATGGGGACACCCACCCTTGCCATGAAGATGCGCAGGCGGTCGGCGCAGTGGGCCGATCGACGCAACCGGCTGGAAACGTGCGGCGTGACCCGCAGTACGCCAGTGTTAGCCCAAGCCATCCGCACACGGACCAGCCCGACACCGAGGTCGAGACAAGACCGGGTCCACTGTTCTAGACGCCCAGCAGTCCCCCACCTGTTACTCTCCCTCTACTCTCGAAGTCCTCCAGACCCCACCGCGGGCAAGGTAATTTTTCTACCCCCTTCATCCCGTAGCCAAGTCGAAGCTCGCCGCTGAACAGATGCGCATGGCCAATGTGCAGCAGCGTCGGGCGGCATATAGCCGACTCCAAGGCCTATACGTGATGGAAGGCGGGTGAGACGGGAGCTAAGACATGGACGCAGAGGAGGAGTTGCTTGGGGTGTTAGTGCCGGAGCCTGACGAATGGTCACCCCTTCGGTTGGCATACGCCCCGGTCCCGCGACGAGCTTGTTCATACACCGCGGAGGTGTACGCAGCGCTCAAGCTACTCGATCTGCTGCGTGAAACCGCTACAATGACGGCAGCCGCCCACCAACGAAGGGCGGCTATTATCTTCACCGATTCTCTGAGGTGGCTCTCACACGCAGCGAAAGGACTCACCACGTTCGGCCCCTCTGGCACCACTGCTGCGGCACCAGCTATTCTTGCTCGCTACGCACGTGGAGTTCGTGGTGGTGTGCCACCAATTCTCGCACTGCGAGGACCCACGAGGGGACGCTATTGACAAGCTGGCAGAGGAGGCACGGAAGCGGAATCCTAGACTCGATAAGGCGTGGCACGTGGATGCAGCTCGTCACCACGTCAAGGCAGCTCTGGCACCTCTCATACAAACAGCCATGGATAGACGCTCACACCTCCACACGCTCGTCCGGCGGGAGCTTGCTCGTCGGCCCACAAACGCGCACAGCTCCCCCCCCCCTGACTCGACGACAGAACTCTGTATGGCTTTTTTGGAACCGCAGGAGGAGTGGGTATGCCGCTTCTTCTCCAGCACCTCCATCGCGTGCTAGCACGCCTCGGTAGGAGAAAACTTGGTCGGCATTCTCGATGACGAGTTTGATAAAGGGGGTGTATTAATAAAGCAGAAAAAAGGGGGGCCTTTTGGTAGAACACGGAACTTGTGTTGGTCAGTTGTACTCGGTAAATCACTTTGCCAATACGCAAAAGAAATACCCGTAAGGAATAGCGCTGAGAGTGTAGAGGGGGAAGAAAGCCATTATGGGTACACGGTTCGCAATACTTGCTGTGCAGCACACAATCGCATACATCCCAGAAGATACCGACGCACTCACGCATGCGGACACGAGAAAAAGACGGCGCATCTCCCTTTCTGGCTTTAAAAGCTGCTCCATATACGACACGGGTGCTCCGTTATTGGCACCCTTCCACTGCAGCTCCTCCCCATAACCCATCTAATCGAAAGGGAGAGTGGGAAGACGCTAGCCCACGCCTGCCACGGAAAGCGAAGATTATCTACTGCACTTATTCTTCTTTCTTTTTCTATAAAGCAATGCCGCAACTTATTATATTTCTTTTTTTTTTAGGATTTACTGGCGGCGGCTTTGTGTGGCCTGCGGCTTGCCGTCACCGACGATGGTGGCTCCTCCGCTGGAGGTGCCTTGGGTAAAAACGGGTAGGCGGTCCCGGCCGCCATCGCGCCGATCATGGCGATCCACTCCACCAGCGTAAAGGAGCGATAGTGGCCGAAGTAAAAGATCGAAAGCACAATCGTGGCAAGTTTGCGCAGCGTCAGCGTCAGCGTCAGCGCAAAGGCAGAGGTGCGCTGATTCATGAGATAGACGCCTGCAATGCACACCACCTGCGTCAGGCAGTTCAGCAGCACATGCACTTGGCTCTCGGAGCGAATGTTCGAGAATTCAAGAAAGAGCCGCGAAGGGTAGAGCAGGAAGAGAGGGACGGCGAGGAGGTGTGACGCGCAGAGTGCCTCTGCCCACACAGGCGGCGCGTCGTCCTTGGCCTGTGCCGTCTTGGGAAGGCGTGCCACCCGTGCTGCCTCACGGTTGCGCGTGTCGCGGTACACGTACTCCTGAAAGACACCTAAGCCGGCGGTACAGAAGGTGGTGGAGACGAGGATGGTAACGCCCAACGTGCCGCGCCACGTCGGAGTCAGAAGTGTGTTCGATGCAAGCGCTGCCTGGCTTTCCTTCTGTGCCTTGCGCGTCTTCTCCAGCGTCAAGGCGATCAGCCCGCCACAAATCGCCAGCGCACACAGCACCTGCCACAGGGTGAAGCGCCTGTCGAGGAAGAGATAGCCCGCCAGCATGTTCATCATCAACGCCGACGAGCGAAAGGTCGCGTGCAGCGGCACCGAGACGTCGAAGCTGAAAACAACGTTGTTCGCCACGGACATGGCCCACGCCAGCACGGCGAGCGTAATCGTGTTGCGGCGAGAGATGCGCGTGCGGCGCAAGCAAAACGGCCACATGCTGGCAGCCCCCTCAACATCCTCGCACGGCTCCTTCAAGCGCAGCAGCAGCGGCAGAGAAAAGCAGGCAACACAGACGTACTGGGCACAGGTCAGCGCGTAAAATGTGTCGGGCGAGCCTTTGATGATGAGCTCCAGCAGGAAAACGTTCGCTTGGCACCCGCAGAAGACGCTGCCCAGGCCCAACGCAACATCTGCCATTCGTGTGCGGTGCGGTTGCCTCTGTCTAGCGCCAATGATTAGGATAGGGGGTTGTGGGTGTGGTCTTGGGTGTGTCTCATTCAACGATGAGAAAAATGGGAAAGGTGTTTTTAATAAAGTAAAGTATTACCAATATATGAGTGTGCGTGTGTCTCTCTTGTTTTGTTTTAGCCTGCCAACAGAACAGATGTATTTAAGGTGTGCAGAGAGCGAGAGAAGGCGCGGTAAAAGCTTCGTCTTCCACTTCATCCCACGCGACGGCGGTTCAAATGAGCTGCGCGCACCACAACAAGCACACCCTTCTATTCTTGTTGCTTGCCTGAGGACCCGAGCAGCGTTCACACCAACAACAAAAATAAATTGTTCGTAAGGCAGTGAGAGGGAGGCCATTTTGGCACTTTTCAGCTGCGGTGTCTTGTTGCCCACGTGGGCCATCCCGTTGTTCGCGGCGGATGGCGGTCAGCGGCCGTGCCTTCTTTCCCCTCTCCCTCCTCTGCGACTTCGCTCTTCAAGCACTTTATACGGCGCGTGCACACCCACAGGCGCGCCGCACCGCAATGAAGCAACACGTACAAAACGTGGATACGACACAACGCAGTCCTCACAACAGTAAAAGAAACAACAAAGACAATTTTTTCAAAGGAAAGAAGTGGGAAAGCGGTGTGTGCACTCGGCGCAGACGGCGTCAACGCCACCCGTTAAGCCGCTCCCCGACAGAAATGGACTGGTGACAGAAAGAAGAAAGAAGAAAACACGGGTTTGGTTGTAGCCCGCTGACTCCACGGGTTGTGCGACGGTCTATCGTTGGGAGAGGGCGGTACCAACTCTTCTTACCACCGCCACCACCACTGCTTTCGTCTTCGCTACGTCTTGTCCGCTGAGCGGCGCGACGTCTGCTTCGGAGGCTGCGTCGAGTTTAAATCGGCGGACGGCCGCAGATTTCCGTTGATGGCGGGGGCGGGGGCGGACGTGCGGCGAGCCGGCGCCGCGCCTCCGCCTCTGCGCGCCCCGGTCGCCCTCTCCTTTGATTTCCTTGGGTGTCCCTTCTTCCCTCCTCTGCTGTGTTTGCCATTCATGCCGAGAGATGCGTCGCGGGGGACGGTGCTGCCGTTGTGGTTTGCTTTGGGTGAGGGAGCCGGGCGGGGCACGGCCAGCGAGGAGGAGCTGTTGTGATGGTACTCGTCAGTGGCCGCACTGGTGCCTGGACTTGGCGGCCCGGCCCACCCGCGTGCGACGTCCTCGGCCGCCGAGTTGCCGCTGGCGTGGGGCGGGACGGGCGGGGTGTCGCGGCGGGTGGCGGACTGACCGAACCCGCCGGCGTCACTGTCGTCCTGCGCTTCGGCCCCTGCCGGCTCCCCCGCCACGCCCGCCTTCCAGTTCTCCGGTGGGGTGGGTGCGCGGGCAGCCTGCTGTTGTGTCTCCTTCAGCAGCCAGCGTTGCTCGGCCATCTCCGCGACGTGGTAGCGCCGCAGCTCCAGCAGCTGCTCCTGAAAGTGCACGTGGATCTGATCCAAGTAAAGCTGATGCCGCTCCCTCTGTCGTTGCAGATCGAAGTTCTCCGCCGTCAGCTGCCTCACCCGACGCTCCTCCTCCTGCTGCTGGAAGAATGCCTGGCGCTGCTCCTGCCTGCTGCGTCGCGCATCCTCGCGGGCCTCGACGACCTCGCAACGGGTGAGCTGATGCTGCTGCCGCTCCTGCTGCAGCAACGACTCCAGCTCCGATACACGGGACTGCAGAAGACTAAAGCAGTCTGCGGCGCTCTCCTCGCCGTTTGCCTCGCCGGCCACCGCGACGATCTGCCGTGCGATGTCGGCGCTGTCGCTGCGAACGCTGGACATGGTCTGAAAGAGCGTCCGCTGCGCCGGGGTGATGATAGACTCCAACGCCGCGAGCGAGACGTCCTTTTGCGACCCGGCACGCGTGAGCTGCTCCACCGCATTCACCAACTCCGTAATTTTGTCCTGCAGGGCGCGTTGGTGCGTCTCGAACTTCTCCATCTCCTCTCGGTGCTCGGCCAGCTGCGAGCCGGACAGCGTGTCCAGCGCCTCCGCCGTCGGCTGCTGCGCGTCAAGGTAGAGACGGGTGAGCTCCTCGCCGATGGACTGCTCGGCGTACGCGCGGAAGAGCTTCAGCCGCAGCTGATCGACGGCTGCCTCGGCTGCCCTCGCTCGCACCCGCGCACGCTCCAGCGCCTCTTGCGACCGCTTGTGCCTTTCATCCTGTGCCACCAGCGCCCGGTTCGCTTTGAGAAGGTCACCGTTCAGTTCATGGTTGTGCGCGCGCAGGCCGCCCAAGGTGCTCGTCACGACCAGCAGACGCTCTCGCACGTCGTCGCCCTGCTCCTTGGCGCGCAGTGCAACGTCGTGCAGATGCTCCCACGCGGAGTTCGGCCCTGCGCCCGCGAGTGCTCCCGCGCTCAGTTGAAGAACGCTCCGTATTAACTGCTGGTGTGCATCATCGCTCTCCTCTTCAGTGGAAGTCGCTGCGAGTTGGTCATCGCCAGGGGCAGCGGTTGGTGCCACGGAGGCAGCCAGCGCATCCCTGCTTGTGGCGGACGCGGAGAGAGAGGAGGCGGGGGAGAAGAGCTGTGTTTGCTGCTGTGGCGGCTGTCCCGTGGGCCTTTCCACCGTGATACCGCTGTCCAACTGAGAAGAGAGATGATGGCGGGGGAGGGGATCGTCTTGGTTCGCGTCACTGCTGGAGCGGTGGTTGCAAGACCCCGTTAGTGAGTTCGATAGGAGCGAGCCGGCCAGCTCCTGCTCGGCGGAAGGAGGGCGTGTTGCCACACCCTGTGGTGAGACTAGCATCTGCACACTGCGCAGCTCATCCTCGCGCTCGCTCAGGAGCTGGCGGTAGTGCGAACACTCCTGCCGAAGTTGGCAGATCTGCGTCTCCGACTGCCGCAGCTGGTCCAGGCTAGTGCGGGTGCGGTCCTCCTCGCTGTCTTCCTGGTCGTCGCTGCGGAGCTGAAGATCGTCGTTCGAACGGGGGGAGACAAGAGGCGTGCACCACTGCGTCAGAGCAGCGCGTTGCAGCTGCGCTACCTTTAAGGACTCCTCCAGGATGCTAATGCGGTATTGCAGGGCCTCGACAACGGCCTGCAACTCCGCCACGTCGGCACTTGCACGCCCGTAGCCGGAGCTGCCCAGCACCGAATTACCGTAAAGTCGCAACGAGAGGCCAGAGAGACGATCGGCAGTGCGGGACTTGAGCTTCTTCACCTTGCGCCGACGTGCGTTGGTGGCAAAGTCGAGCGACGACTTCGTCTCCTCGTAGCTGTTCGCCTCTAGTGACGCGGTCACGACAAGAAAGAGATGCCAGCTGCGCATGCGAGGCGCCAAGTAGGTCGTGAGAAGCGCATCGCGGTAGTGCAGCACCTCCGTCTCTGTGCTGCCGGACTCGACCAGCTCCCGCAGCGCCATGAGGGACACATTAATAAAAATGGCCTGGCTTTGACGCTCGCCGGCCGCCCCGCTCTTCTTGATGCGCTCCGTGCCGGCCAGATCCGCGAGCGTGACACGCGTTGTGGTAAGTGGCGCGCCGTCTAAGAAGCGCGTGATGTGCAGCGTCAGCAGCGTGAAGGAGCGTGAGCTGCGGGGGTTGAGTGCGTGCGCTTGTGTGACCCGCATGCGTGACGCCGCCTTCATCCGTGTCAGCACCTCTGCCGCGCTGCGCACCAGTACCTTCGGCTCGAAGGCACCGTTCGCGGCACCGCCCGCTAATGCGGCGGTGGAGTGTGTGCCGCTGCTGCTCTCCATTGACATCATCGCCGTCTGCAGCGGCTTTGACAGCTGCGCGCCGAACTTCCCCGCACGCGGGCCGTCCAGCAAGTTGTACGCCTTGTTGTTGTAGATCTGAATGTAACTCATCTCAACCACCTCGTTGTGCACGTCACGGGTGCGAAACACCTCCTGCGCGACCGCCGGTCCGAGCGCGTTCATCGTGTACGTCTTCCCGCTGCCCGTCTGCCCGTAGCACAGCACACACACGTTGTAGCCCGCGTTGAGCTGCTCCATGATCGCAGGAAGAAGACGCTCGCACACAGCGGCGTTCGTCACGTCTGGCGCGAGGACTTCGCCAAACTCGTACTGTCGAAAGTCGTTCGTGGAGGGAGAACGGATTGTCAGGAGTTTGCCGCGGCATCCAATGCAGCTGCTGCCGCCACGCGACGGCTGCGGATTGCTCGGGAAACCCGCTTTCGCGGCGTCAGAGGCGGGTGAGGCCCCCGCCGCACTCGTCGGGCTCGAGCGAGGAGCATCCGTCAGCGCCTGCGTATGCGGCGTTGCGGTGGCGGATGCCGTGGTGAAGGCCTGCGGCAACGTCACGGCGATGGCGGGCGTAGACGAAGCCGAGGGTGAGGTCACTGCTGCCGCCCCATTGTATCCTTCCATTTGCAGCAGCGGAGATCTCTGTGCAGCGGACTGCCCTTGCTGCTGCGGCGGCGGCGGGTTCCACACTTCATCACCGCAAGGAGAACTGTCGAGGTGCGGTTGAGGGGTGAGAGCACCGCCGCTGCGCGAAGGTGGTCGGCGGCCCGTCCGCGGCGACCGCAGTGTGCCATCCTCCACGCTGTAGTCGAGCAGCAGCCCGGATCGCAGCGAGGAGGTGAGCGTGGCAGGCGAGGTGAGGTTCTCGCTGGCACCTGCGCTGACCTGCGCGAGCGTTGGCGCGCCTTTCAACCGCACAATCACACTCACGCTTTCCTGCACTAAGGACGACGCTTGCGTGCCGCGCGGGGACCTGCCGGGGCCGAGGACGCACGCGGTGGACACGCCTGGTGTGGCCGTCTCCGGACCGTGGAGGGCCGTGTGCGAGGAAGGACCGGTCATGGGAAGCACCGCAGACGACTCTAATTTGGAAACACTACTACTAGGCATGCTGCTGTCGGCGCCCTCCACCACGTCACCGTCTGCGCGGATGTCGAGGGCATCCAAAGGGGGGGCACCAGGGGAGACTCTGCCTTGGCTAGCGTTACCTGCATCTACCGACATCGTGGCAACGACCGAATTCTGGTGCTTTTCGACTGCTTTGTGTGTGCGTGTGTCTGGGGGGGAATGCCGTTTGTTTGTTGTTGAGAACCTCAAGAGAAAAACACAAGAGAGAAAGAAGGGGAGCGCATCTGAAGCGGCAAGGATAAAGGAAAACACAATGCTCAAGAAATGTGTGTGGGAAGAAGAAAAAGCAAACGGCCGCTGTGGCTTCCACAGGCAACGGCAAACGTTGTCTCGGCTGCTCGGCACGCCTCCTCTTCCTCCTCCTCCTCTTCACTCTGCTGTTTTTTCGTACTCCGTTTGAAACGGACGTTGGGAGAGGTTAGGAGGAAAGTGCGAAGTGTGGGATATGAATTGCTACGAAAAGAAGAGCGTTAGCGCAAGGTAAGGGAGGAGTCGGAGCACGTGAGCGATGACACGACGATGAGGAACCAACGAGAAGGCAGTACAAGCCATGACGTTCTCAGTTGTATGGGATGTGTGTTCGTGTGTGTGTGCGCGCGGCAACCATGTTGTGCCGCGAGTCGTCCCATGACCCCTCACACAGACCGGGGGGAGAGGGAGGGAGACAAGTTCCACCGCGCGACCGCACATCACCGCGCCGTAACCCAGACTAACCGAACGAGTGCTGGCACACACACGCACAACTGAGAACACCTGCATGTCTGGGAAGCGAAGTGAACGAAAAGAAAAAAATGCCTGAGTTAAAGGGCCACTTGCTCGAGTCCTTTATCATGCGCGTCATCCAACCTGGACATCCGCCTTCTGTGCTTTCAGTGCCGGAAGCAGCGAGGACACTCAACGCATTGCAGTGTAATATATATGGAAGTGTATCTTTTTTTCTTCTTTTAACGGATTATATTGCACCGCCTCGGCATCCTATTCAAAGGAAACTCGTTATACTACTACGTATTACAGCATGAACAAGTACATGAATCGATCTTCGTATTAAAGAGATAGAAGAGTATGCGTGCAAGCGGACAGAACAAGAACACAGAAAGGAAGGAGACGACTACGTTCGCGGTCTCGTTTTTAAAAGAAAAAAAGCACAGAGGTGGAGCGAGCATGTACTCTCTTTTCTTTTGACACTACAGATTCGCCACTTGAGTTTACCTGCTTTGACGTGTAAATCACCAAGAGTTAGAAGCTGTCGGTCCTTTGCTGACCGCACTTGACAAGTCTTGTTCCTTCTTCGTTCTTTTCTTTTTTCCAATTCGTCGTGTTTTCTTCTTTTTCCCGTCCTCCCAGCGGTACACTCGAACGAGCACGTGAGCCGTGAGAATGGACGTGCTGTCCGCGCATTCCTTATGACATGGACCCCACGTACCAGCCAGACGCGCCACGCCGATACGACACGTTCGGTGAGAAAGAAGCCGCAACAAAGAAAGAGCAACAGCAGCGGGATGTGGCCCACAGTACTCTCCTTCGGTAGCTCCTCCCACCGCGCACTCGTCGAACCCCCGATACACGGTCAACGTGGCAATCAGGCTTCAATTGAGTCCGAGAGAGGTTGTCAGAGTACACAAGAGAGTACCAGGAGATTTTTCCTACAAAAGAGAAAACTAACAAAAAAAACTTTCATTACTGCTTCTTACGAAGCCACATTCTTAGGAGGGAAAAAGGAACTTTCGCCACAGCGTAAAATAGCGTCAGACGGTGCAGAGTAGGTGCGTTGCAACCCCTGGCAACCGCGTCAGCCCTTCTTTACCCAAAATACTTTTCCGCTTACTTACCGTTACTACCAAACAAGAGAGAGAAAAGAAAAAAACGGACGTCACAAGAGAGAACGCGTGGAAGCGACACGACGAGCACTTTTTCGCTTATTCGTTGGGGGTGCGCGGTGGTGAGTAGACGTCGACCGGGCTAGCATTATCCGCAGATTCGGAGCCCTCCTCCACGTTCAGGTTCGCCAGCGCGTTCACCGGTGAGCTGTCTTCACTACCAGCCTTCTCCGGCGCAGCCTTCTCCGGCGCGGTGCCGTGCTGCTGCGTCGGCGGCACGTCCTTCTTCGCGCCCGCCTTCTCCGCCTCCGCCGCGTCCACGCCGTCGTCGTACGGCTTGATCGGACCAGAGCCCGCCGTGTCCGACACGCAGCCGAAGAGGTCGATCCAGTCCATGAAGATGTGCGCAATCACCTTCACGATGTCCTGCACCAGCCACCACACGATGCAGTAGATCCACACCCACAGCGGCAGCAGCTTCTCCGCGTTGGTGTCACCCCACGCGAGACCCTCCGTCAGCACCTCATCCGGCCGCGTCTTGTGCCAGAAGGCAGCAGCCATCGTCGACACAAGCAGCGAGATGATCGCGCCGCAGAACAGAATCGGGCTCGGCGTCATGTAGAAGAAGAAGTTGCCGCCCGTGCGCGACGAGAACAGCGTCAGGAAGTCGGAAATCGAGATCTTCAGGTACATCAGCGTCACAAGCTTACCCTGCGGCAGCTGCGCAAGACCCATGTGGCGGAACCACGAGTCGTAGTAGAAGTCCGGGCTGTAGCCCTCCAGGCCAACCCAGAGCAGCATCAGCGACGAGCCGCACGCCACAGCAGACAGAATCGACGCGCTCACGAACACAACCGGCAGGTTCCACTTCTGCGGACGCTCCGACGGCACCACGTGGTCGTAGCCGATCGTCATCAGGCAGCCGTCGTTCAGCAGCGTGATCAGCATGAACATCAGCACCGGCAGGTGGAAGAACTGGAACTCGGGGTCCGTGCTGCCGTAGTCCTTCGGCGTCAGGCTGAAGCACGCAATGAAGAAGAAGCACACCAGCTGCAGCGTGGCGGAGATACGGTAGGTCAGGAAGGAGAGCATGCGCTGGAACACCTCGCGCGACACCAGCATCGCCTCCACCACAACGCTCAGGCCGGGCTCCGTCAGCACCATGTCCGCCGCAGCGCGCGCAGCGTCCGTCGCACCGTGCACCGCGATGCCCACGTCCGCACGCTTCAGCGCAGGTGCGTCGTTCACGCCGTCGCCCGTCATCGCGCACGTGAAGCCGCGCTGGCGCAGCGCCTCCACAATCATGAACTTGTGCTCCGGGAACACCTGCGCGAACCCGCCCACGGAAAGCATCATGTCGCCGTACTTCTCGCCGAGGTCGTCCGGCAGGTCGTTCGCGTCCTTCACCTTCGGCAGCTTGTCCGCCGTCAGAATGTTCGGGTCGAGGTTCAGCATGCGGCACATCTCCTTCGCGATCAGCACGTGGTCGCCCGTGATCATCTTCACGTCCACGCCGTACTCCTTGCTGCGGCGAATCGTCTCCTTCGTGTCCGGGCGCGGCGGGTCCAGGAAGGTCAGGATGCCGGCCATGTGCCAGCGGCCCTCCTGGTCCGTCTTCGCCACGGCAAGGCAGCGGATACCGCGCGACGCAAGGCTATCGATGATGTCCACCACCTGGTCGTTGATCTCGTCCTGGTTGTACACCATCTGCAGAATCACATGCGGCGCACCCTTCGTCACGTTGAACTTCTCGCCCGTGCGATTGTCCACCAGCGTGGCCGCCGTGCGCTTCGTCGTCGGGTCGAACGGAACGAACTCCAGCTGCTTGTAGTTGTCGCACTCGTCAAGGTTCGCGGCACCCAGCACCATCGTGTCCAGCGCATCGCGCGGCGGCTCGCGCCACTTCGCGGCGAGCGCGGCAAGCACCAGCGTCGTGTGCAGGTCGTTGCCCTCCTCGAAGGTGAAGCACTGGTCCTGGATCTCCATCTTGTTCAGCGTCAGCGTGCCGGTCTTGTCGGAGCACAGCATGTTCACGCCGGACATCATCTCAATTGCGGACAGCTTCGTCACGATGATCTTGTGCTTCGACAGGTGCGTCGAGCCGACGGCGAGCGTCGTCGTCACCACGATCTCCAGCGCGATCGGGATGGACACCACAAGCACCACCACGGCGAACTGCAGCGAGCGGCGGAACGTCTCGTAGAACTTCGCCAGCAGGTAGATGAAGCAGCACATGCACAGCACGAACGAAATCGCGCACAGCGAGATCATCACGCGGCCGAGAATCACGTGGATGTTGCCGAGGTCCGACTGCACAGACTGCAGCAGCGCCGCCGTCTTGCCGAAGAACGTCAGCGCGCCCGTCAGCTGCACCGTGCCCTCCACCTCGCCGCGCACAACGTTCGAACCCATCTTCGGCATGTGCTCCGGACCCATCGTCACGGGCAGCGACTCGCCCGTCAGCGCGGCCTCGTCCACGTCGATGATGCCCTCGTTGATGCTGCAGTCGGCCGGCACCGCGGAGCCGGCGGCCAGCTTCACAAGGTCGCCGGGCACCAGCACCGCCGCGTCGATCTGCTGCCACTTCCCGTCGCGGTACGCAGTCGCCACAGGCTTCAGCGAGTTCTTCAGCGCAGCCACCGCATCGCCGGCCTTGATCGTCTCGAACCAGCCGATCGTCGCGTTGGCGATCTGGATGGCGAACAGAATGGCACCGTCGGGCCAGTTCTCCAGCGCAAACTCGATGATGATGGCCACCCACAGCGCAGCAGGCATCGGGCCCCACAGACCACGCACGTAAATCACCCAGCTCGGCGTCTTCTTCTCCGGCAGCTCGTTGCGGCCGTACTTCTCCAGCAGCTCCTCCGCCTCCTCCGACGTCAGCCCCTTCGACGGCGGCAGCAGGTCCCCGGCCGGGCCCGTCGCGTCCTCTTCGTGCTCGCTGATCGCCTTGGACAGCACGGACTGGCGGCGCTGCGGCTTCTGCGGGACGTTCTCCTCCTCCGCGTCGGACGGGCTCTTGGGCTTGTCCTCAAACGCGGCGGGCTCCTTCTCCTGCGAGTTCTTAGCGCTCATCTTGTCAACGTGCAATTGAATGCTGTTGAGATTATGTTTGTGGAATTACGATACAGCAGGTGGAAACCTAAATGGATCTCAACTCTGCGTGAAAGGTCTTTTTTGAGGAGAGATCAGAGGAGACGAACAAGTCCAAAGCTGGTGTGACAGCCTCCGGTGTTTCTTGTTCGACTCTTCTGATGTACTTATTCTTTCTTTTCTAGAAGAAAAAAGCTGTTCGTGCGAAATGAAGCCTCGCGAAGAAAGCGACAGGCACAAAAACGGTAGAAGAGAGCGTTTTCACAGCGTTTCGTGTTTCTTGGTTCTCTACGAGCTATTAAAAAGGTTTAAAAAGGGAGGACGGCACAGCGTGTGTTTGCTCTCTTCTTTTTCTTTTTTAATATTATGCAGGTAGATAGTAAATAGAAAACACCAAGCGTATAAAAACGTTCGTTGCGTGGAGGTACTCTTCGCCGTTGCTTCTCTCGTAAACTCCACTGTTAGGTTAGCTGGAAGTAAAGCATAAGGACGGTAGCAATAACAATAATTGGTATTGTGCACACACACACACACACGCACATTTTCATCGAGATTGTACCCGACAAGAAAAAGTGTAAAGTACAGGAGAGGAAAGAGAAAGCGAAAAGATGTCGAATGAAGAATAGCAGGCAACAACGCCTCACAGTGTTCTAAAGGGAAACTTTTTCCTGATTTGCTCTGCCCAACGGCCACGACCGCATGAGCTTCAGGAATTGGCAGCGTTGAAGCGTTGAAGCGTCCTCGCATCTTATTGTGGTGGCTCGTGGGTGGTATTTTTGTTGTTGTTAGTTTGCTTTGGTCTCCCAAAAAAATGCGGGTGCATTCTGAAGAGGGATCGCAGCGCGCTTCGACTCGGCAAACAGAAAAGGTCTTCGACCCTGCCGCCTGACAGCACCTTTTTTTTAAAACAACTATGTTCAGCTTGTTGCACGACTCCGTGGGCATGAGCGCCCCACGCATTTGGTATTAAACTTCCCGTATCGAGCCACAGTGAAAGTTCGTTGTCGAAGCTGTTTCTTTTTTTGTTATTTTTTTTTCTTTTTCCGTTTTCTTTTTTACGGCGTGCCATACAGTTAAATGTGTCCAAGTTATATCGAATCAAAGAAAGGTGCTCCACCGAAGACGTCAACAGGCGGGAGAAGAGGACGAAAACAGGTTAAAAAGAAAAAGAGAAACACCATCTAAAGCGAAGCGCATCGAATAGGCGGCAGTGATGTTGCACGGCGCATGCGTCCTCAACCGTTCAAAATGAAGAATGAAAAAATGAAAACGAATACGCGAGGCGGCAAATATTTTTTTCTCGTTGGCAAGGAGCGATGCGAAGGCCAAACGACGACGTAGTGATACCCGTGGAGAAAGGGGTGTCCACACTTCCACTTCGCGGAGGGGGATCTGCGAGATGCGGTGGAAAGGGAGAAAAACACACACCAGGAGCATGATCCGTCAAATTGAGGCGCTACTGCTTGAAAGCGGTAATCCTGTCCGCCTCCATCTCTTCTCCAGCGTTCCTCTCAGTATTCCGGAGGAGAGACACTCGCGGTAAAAATCATTGCATGACCGTGTAAAATAAAACAAAAACTCGAAAATTTATCCGCTAACTGTCCGTTAACTTCACATGGGTGTTTCGTTGACGTGTCGGTCGCTTCATCGCGGGCGTGCGCTCGTTCTCGATAAGTGAGAAAAAAAAGAGAGAGAGAAGGGTTGCCCGTCACATACAAACATGCATGTACATTGAAATAGGTTGAACCACCCATCTCCTCCCCTTGACAGTCTACAGATTCCATCTTCATTGCCGCTCCATCTATTATCTTTTCTTCTTCATCTTCGTTTAAAAGGTTGCTTTGTCGAATTTTTCTTCCTCCCTCTCTCGTCTTCGGCGGAATACCCCCTCACGGTCTAAAAGGAATTGCGTTCAACAGAGCAGAAGCTCCCTCCTCCCTCTATTATTTTTTGATTGAGTGTGTGTGTGTTGTTTTTTTTTTTAAGAGAAAGAGAAAAAACTCGAATGAGAGGCTTCATCTCGCACAACAAGAACGCGACAGGGAATTTAAAAAAAAAAGAATCTTACGTAGGTTGTCATCTACTACTACTACTTCACGCACATCAGCACAAACCAACCACAGGTACGTCGCATGGAAAGCGAGGAATGCGTGCTTTGCGTACCGGAACCGGATAAAGATGCTGTGTGTACGTGCGCACGGCGCGAAGGAAAAAAAAGAAATCAAATCTCAGCATAGCGGGTCGCAATATACATACATACATACATACATACATACATACATACACACATATGTACATATGAAAGCCGAGGTTGCCCCGAACACGGTCGATGCAGAGTAGGTGCGTTGCAACCCCTGGCAACCGCGTCAGCCCTTCTTTACCCAAAATACTTTTCCGCTTACTTACCGTTACTACCAAACAAGAGAGAGAAAAGAAAAAAACGGACGTCACAAGAGAGAACGCGTGGAAGCGACACGACGAGCACTTTTTTGCTTATTCGTTGGGGGTGCGCGGTGGTGAGTAGACGTCGACCGGGCTAGCATTATCCGCAGATTCGGAGCCCTCCTCCCCGTGCAGGTTCTCCAGCGCGTTCGCTGGCGAGTTGCCGCCACTACCAGCCTTCTCCGGCGCGGTGCCGTGCTGCTGCGTCGGCGGCACGTCCTTCTTCGCGCCCGCCTTCTCCGCCTCCGCCGCGTCCACGCCGTCGTCGTACGGCTTGATCGGACCAGAGCCCGCCGTGTCCGACACGCAGCCGAAGAGGTCGATCCAGTCCATGAAGATGTGCGCAATCACCTTCACGATGTCCTGCACCAGCCACCACACGATGCAGTAGATCCACACCCACAGCGGCAGCAGCTTCTCCGCGTTGGTGTCACCCCACGCGAGACCCTCCGTCAGCACCTCATCCGGCCGCGTCTTGTGCCAGAAGGCAGCAGCCATCGTCGACACAAGCAGCGAGATGATCGCGCCGCAGAACAGAATCGGGCTCGGCGTCATGTAGAAGAAGAAGTTGCCGCCCGTGCGCGACGAGAACAGCGTCAGGAAGTCGGAAATCGAGATCTTCAGGTACATCAGCGTCACAAGCTTACCCTGCGGCAGCTGCGCAAGACCCATGTGGCGGAACCACGAGTCGTAGTAGAAGTCCGGGCTGTAGCCCTCCAGGCCAACCCAGAGCAGCATCAGCGACGAGCCGCACGCCACAGCAGACAGAATCGACGCGCTCACGAACACAACCGGCAGGTTCCACTTCTGCGGACGCTCCGACGGCACCACGTGGTCGTAGCCGATCGTCATCAGGCAGCCGTCGTTCAGCAGCGTGATCAGCATGAACATCAGCACCGGCAGGTGGAAGAACTGGAACTCGGGGTCCGTGCTGCCGTAGTCCTTCGGCGTCAGGCTGAAGCACGCAATGAAGAAGAAGCACACCAGCTGCAGCGTGGCGGAGATACGGTAGGTCAGGAAGGAGAGCATGCGCTGGAACACCTCGCGCGACACCAGCATCGCCTCCACCACAACGCTCAGGCCGGGCTCCGTCAGCACCATGTCCGCCGCAGCGCGCGCAGCGTCCGTCGCACCGTGCACCGCGATGCCCACGTCCGCACGCTTCAGCGCAGGTGCGTCGTTCACGCCGTCGCCCGTCATCGCGCACGTGAAGCCGCGCTGGCGCAGCGCCTCCACAATCATGAACTTGTGCTCCGGGAACACCTGCGCGAACCCGCCCACGGAAAGCATCATGTCGCCGTACTTCTCGCCGAGGTCGTCCGGCAGGTCGTTCGCGTCCTTCACCTTCGGCAGCTTGTCCGCCGTCAGAATGTTCGGGTCGAGGTTCAGCATGCGGCACATCTCCTTCGCGATCAGCACGTGGTCGCCCGTGATCATCTTCACGTCCACGCCGTACTCCTTGCTGCGGCGAATCGTCTCCTTCGTGTCCGGGCGCGGCGGGTCCAGGAAGGTCAGGATGCCGGCCATGTGCCAGCGGCCCTCCTGGTCCGTCTTCGCCACGGCAAGGCAGCGGATACCGCGCGACGCAAGGCTATCGATGATGTCCACCACCTGGTCGTTGATCTCGTCCTGGTTGTACACCATCTGCAGAATCACATGCGGCGCACCCTTCGTCACGTTGAACTTCTCGCCCGTGCGATTGTCCACCAGCGTGGCCGCCGTGCGCTTCGTCGTCGGGTCGAACGGAACGAACTCCAGCTGCTTGTAGTTGTCGCACTCGTCAAGGTTCGCGGCACCCAGCACCATCGTGTCCAGCGCATCGCGCGGCGGCTCGCGCCACTTCGCGGCGAGCGCGGCAAGCACCAGCGTCGTGTGCAGGTCGTTGCCCTCCTCGAAGGTGAAGCACTGGTCCTGGATCTCCATCTTGTTCAGCGTCAGCGTGCCGGTCTTGTCGGAGCACAGCATGTTCACGCCGGACATCATCTCAATTGCGGACAGCTTCGTCACGATGATCTTGTGCTTCGACAGGTGCGTCGAGCCGACGGCGAGCGTCGTCGTCACCACGATCTCCAGCGCGATCGGGATGGACACCACAAGCACCACCACGGCGAACTGCAGCGAGCGGCGGAACGTCTCGTAGAACTTCGCCAGCAGGTAGATGAAGCAGCACATGCACAGCACGAACGAAATCGCGCACAGCGAGATCATCACGCGGCCGAGAATCACGTGGATGTTGCCGAGGTCCGACTGCACAGACTGCAGCAGCGCCGCCGTCTTGCCGAAGAACGTCAGCGCGCCCGTCAGCTGCACCGTGCCCTCCACCTCGCCGCGCACAACGTTCGAACCCATCTTCGGCATGTGCTCCGGACCCATCGTCACGGGCAGCGACTCGCCCGTCAGCGCGGCCTCGTCCACGTCGATGATGCCCTCGTTGATGCTGCAGTCGGCCGGCACCGCGGAGCCGGCGGCCAGCTTCACAAGGTCGCCGGGCACCAGCACCGCCGCGTCGATCTGCTGCCACTTCCCGTCGCGGTACGCAGTCGCCACAGGCTTCAGCGAGTTCTTCAGCGCAGCCACCGCATCGCCGGCCTTGATCGTCTCGAACCAGCCGATCGTCGCGTTGGCGATCTGGATGGCGAACAGAATGGCACCGTCGGGCCAGTTCTCCAGCGCAAACTCGATGATGATGGCCACCCACAGCGCAGCAGGCATCGGGCCCCACAGACCACGCACGTAAATCACCCAGCTCGGCGTCTTCTTCTCCGGCAGCTCGTTGCGGCCGTACTTCTCCAGCAGCTCCTCCGCCTCCTCCGACGTCAGCCCCTTCGACGGCGGCAGCAGGTCCCCGGCCGGGCCCGTCGCGTCCTCTTCGTGCTCGCTGATCGCCTTGGACAGCACGGACTGGCGGCGCTGCGGCTTCTGCGGGACGTTCTCCTCCTCCGCGTCGGACGGGCTCTTGGGCTTGTCCTCAAACGCGGCGGGCTCCTTCTCCTGCGAGTTCTTAGCGCTCATTGCTGCAATTGTAAAAGCAATAAATTAGTGATGTAGGTAGATGACGGTAGACTTCCTAAAGGACAGCCTCTGATCGGGTGACACTTTTCTAGCTGCTTACTTTTGTATTTTTCCCTTTGTCTTATTCTACTCTTAACGATTGCTGCTCTTCTTTGTTTCCTTCACGGGATGAGTTGTGTGGCGTTGTGACGCTCCAACTCAGAAACGGTGGAGGAAAAAAGAAGGTAGTATTCTCGTGTAGAAATACGCCTGAGAGTCGGAAGGAATGAAGTCTCGCGACCACCTTCTTTTTGTTTTCTTCTTAGATTGCGCTGATGGTGCTTCTAGGCTAGTGCTGTTTCCTTCGACAACTGAAGTGTACAGCCGAAAGAACAGTAAGAACAAAGAACGGTTGATTGCCTTCCTTTGCGGCTGATGTTGTTGACAGGCTCTGCTGGGTGCAGCTATCGTTGGCACGGAGGAGCAGGGGTAGAAGAAAAAGAATTACTATCGGGGAGTAGAGGGGGGCGGGAGAGAGAAGAAAACACGAGAAGGAAAGATGGTTGGGGGAGAGGGGAAGGAGGGCGGAGGCACGACGGTTGAGAGTTTGTTGGTCACTTGAGGGGCGGTGGAGGAAACAGAAGAATGTGCCACGCCGGGGCTTTCGCCGCTTCGACAAAACGTTTTTTCATTACGTCAACGATGAAGAGATTCCCTCCTTTCAACTGGTTCGGATTTGTGATGGCTGATTATGAATGAAGTTCGGGTTTTCTGTGAGTCAAGGTGGATTGCGGGCGCGCAAACACCACAAAGAACGGGGGAAGATAAGACCTGAAGAGGACGCGCAAAGAGACGGCGACGCCGACACCGATGGCTGCGATGCGCCGCTGGCTGTCGGCCTGCACCATCGCCGCCCTTCTGCCCTGCGTGACGCGCGATTCGGTTTGCCTTGGGTACAGAGGCGGACACCCAACTACGGGGACCGGTGAGCCACACCTCAACGGACAAAAACAAGAAAGAAAAGAGAGAGAGATGTGCTTGGGTACGCATTCGAAAGGAATGATCTCCGCGTTCGCCCGTGTGTGAGGCGAAATACTCTTGTTTCATACGGCTGCCGTCGCTAGATCTTGATTCCCCCAGTCGCCGTCACCGGCAGCGCGGCTTCGTTTTCTCGCGCAAAGGAGACATACGCGGCGCGTCGCCGTATTAGCAGCTCCACCGTGGCGCCGCTCCCCGCCGCGTCAGAGACGGCCTTCACATCGATCCACTGCGCGTGCCGCTGCAGAAACGTTTGCAGCTCTGCCGTGGGGGTGTGGTACAGCATCCCGATAAAGCCAACATCGTACGGCGACTCTGTTTTTGTGGTGTGTTGATCCTTCAACAGCGGCCGCACGTGATCGGCTGCTCGAGCCAGAACCGCTTTTACCGGCTCCCACGCGTGCGCCGAGCTGAAGCCGTGAAGGAGGGAAAGGCTCAAGTGGAAGATGTCGTCCATCTCGTGCGACGCGGCGTAGCGCCGCACTTTGGTGCCGTCGTGATTGACCCAGCAGCACCGCCCGCAGTCCCGCAGGAGACACAGCAACGCCTCCTCCGCGGTGCAGCTCACACCCGGCATGCGCTGCAGCGCCATTGCCAGGGTCGCCTCCTGCGATTCCGCCGACAGCTTCTTCAGCACACGGGGTACCGCCATCCACACGGGCCGCAGCTGCCTCGCCAAATCCACCGGCAGCACGGCTGCGTCCAACTCCGCCGTGCAGCCCGGTGCGAGCCAAAACGGACGCAGCCGCACCTGACGCGGGCCGCCATGTGGTGGCCGAAGGAGGGCGAACGGGAAGGGGTGCGGTGGGCTTCCCTTCCCCGCGTGGGCCGCCGTGAGCGATTCGGACGACCGCCACGCCAGTTCCAACTCCACTGCGGAGAGGCCAGGGAGGTAGCACGTGGCCAACGCCTCGAGGGAGACGTAGGCATCGAACGGCAGCACACACAGCAGCCGTGCCCACCACGGCCACGCCTCCACCGGCAGCGTCGCCAGCGCCAGGTAGGGGTACCCGATGTCCGTCACCGGGATGGAAGAGAGCGGCACGCCGCCTCTGCTGCCCTGCCCAGGCACTGTCAGCGGACGTGTGGTGGCCGCGCCTGCTGTGCTTTGCACTTCGGTGTGTGTGGTAGAGGCAGGCGCCCCTACGGCAGAAACGCCCTTCGCTGCTGGGTCGGCCGCGTGCGCCATCGCCGCCGGAAACGTCGACGGCGTCCCTCCACGGACGTTCCGCTTGCGGGGAAGCTTGCTGGGCAGTGCGCTTTTAATCGGACGCCGAACGTGCATGACAGGGAAGGCTTTCGTGGTGTCGCTGGCGGTCAACTTCGACCCGGCGCGGATCGACGACGGCGTCGCTTCCTTCGTCGCCTCTGCCGCCTGGTCGCTGTGCCACTCCGCAGACCCGGCGGTGACCCGCCAGGCACTCGACGGATCCCACGCCGCGTAATGCGGGTCCGCTGCGCCGCGCTGCGGGTGCGTGACCGAAGCTGCCAGGCGCACCTGCGTGCCGTCCTCTGACTTCTCCACGTAGTAGATGAAGATGCGACACAGCAGGGTCCTCATGCTCGTGCGAGGCCCGACAAGTTTCAAAAGGGCATCGGAGGTGCGCACTTCCTCTATCGGAACGAAGAAGGTGGGGACGCACTCCACCAAGTAGTCCAGCATCTCCGCCGGCGTCAGCCAGCCGTGCGCGTTAGCCAGCGCCGTGTGAAGGGCGATCCATTCCTCCGGAGTGGAGGGACGTGGCGGGCGCGTCTTCTTTGGCGTGGCTTCATCGCTCTTCCTGCTCGACGGCGCTAACGAAGCCGGAAGTTTTGACTTTTTCGCCGCCGTCGTCTGCCGCGGCGGCACGACGGGGGCGCGGCGCAGCAACGCAACGTCGAGTCCCCTCAGCAGCGAGGCGTCGCCGACGGTGGCGCCGCTGCCGCGCGGACCTTCGAGGCCGTCGTAGGGCACCTCCTCCAGCCCCGTTGCGGCGGCGAGGGCGTGGGCGGCGTCTTCGTCCGCCGTTGACGCTCGCGCTGCCGCTGCCACCTCCTCTTGCGCAGTGACCGCGTTCGTGTTGACGTCAGCGGTGCAGTCTTCAGCATCGTCAGCGTCGTCGAGCGGCACGTCTGCCCACCACGCCTCCGCCTCCGCGGTTGGGCGGATGTGGATGTAGTCGGCTGGAACTGGTACGTAGACGCCGTCCTCCACCACACCCTCGACGGCGCGCTCCGTTGGGATGCCAAGATGTTGGGTGATGACCGCTACAGAGGAAGAGGCGGCAGGTGGCGCCCACAGAGGTGGCACCTGCGGAGGGGCGCTGCTCTTGTCAGAGTTGGTGACAGAAGTGTCGGCACAAGTTCCTCTACGCAGCAGGAACATGGAGTCCGCGGTGAGGGCGACAAGGCCGTGCGCCACATCATAGTCGTGTTTAAAGCAGCGCGCAAGTCCGGCGTGGCGTGTGCGAAGGTCTTCGACTATTTCCAGCGGCAACAAAACGCGGAGTTGGGCAATCGGCATGGGGCTGCCATTCTCTGGCAGCAGCAACGCGATGGCGGACCACAATCGATGCACCGCTACGTGGGCAGCCTCCACGCCCGCGGTCGCATCCGCAGCAGCAGCAGCAGCAGAAGTTAAAGTACGCCTCTTCTTGCTGTGTGCATCCTGTGACGTGCTCTGCTGCTTCACCGCTGCGGAAGAGGTCGGAGGGCGGTCGGGTGCAGCCGACGGTGTGTGGGACGATGAAAGCCGAGCTCGCACCTGCGCCAGCTCCTCGCTCAGAACCATCTCCGACACGTCCAACTCCGTGTGACTCCTCGCCTCCTCCACGCCTCTCGCCGTCTCCGTGTTCGGTAGGAACTGCTTGTTGGGTGATCCGCTGACCACCGATGCACGCGACACGCGCCACCGCCGCGTCGTGTTGTCCTGTGTGCAGGCAAAGCGGTGTGGAAAGAGCTGAAGAAAGCTGCGTGCTGACCCGAACGATTCGCTGATAGCCTCCAGGTCGAGCAGAGGGGTGAGCTCCGTCAGCGGCACGGAGGAGCCGTCCGCAGGAAGAAGGGCATAGGCTTCTTCAATAAAGGCTTCTGCCGGCGAGGGGCTTGAGGAAGGAGAAGTCATCGCACCGTCATCGATAACGTGTTCCGGTGTAGTGGCATCATCTTCCTGGCTGCTGCGTGCATCAGGCATCAATCCTTCTTGAGAGGACAACACGTCGTCGTCTTGCGAGGACGCGTTCAGCAGCATATCCTCGTACGCCTGCATGAAATCATCCTCCTCGTCCCCTTCGTCCATGCTGGCCTTGCTCTCTGATGCGCCACTGTAACCGCGGAGTTGGTGCGCCACCGCCGTTGCGAAACCGCTCTTGTGAGGGCGAGCGGAAGTGTTCTGGTCATCGGCCGATAGCGCCAATGCATGATACCACGGTGTGCGGCGTGGAAGTTGAAGAATACCGCGGCACAACCGGCGCATCGACCAGCAGGGCGAGGTTCGCCGCATGAACACACGTGCCCGCCGGGGGATCAGTCGTGCGCGGAGTCGTGTGTCTGTGCCTTGGCACTTAGAAAACGCCTCCCTTCGCGAAGTTTGCCACGGCAGCTATAATGTACTCTGCGCGCTCGAGTGCGTGTCCCTCACCACAGCAGAAAGGTGAAATTAAAATAAAGAGAAACAGTAGAAAACTTTCAAAAAAAAAGAGCGCCAAATCGCTCTGTGCCACGTGCTGTTGTTCCTCGACCATTTGTTCACGTCTCGATACACGAGCCTCGATATGCAGGAAGAAAGAGAGAAAGAAAAGTCGTTGAGGGGGCAAGCTAGCCTACATCCTCAGCATTCTTCGCTCAGGCGTTCTCGATCAGTTCTGTGTGGTTCTTCGCTCTTCTTTTTTGGAGGGAAAGAGATTAGCAGGACACGTCGCACGGTGCCGTTGATTACACGTTACGCAGGAGAGCAAACAAAAAGGAAAACGAAAGAGGCAGAACGTAGTTCGTCCGTTGCCGTTTGCAGACAGAGAAGCCTATTCCACCACCACCTCCACAACAAGAGAGCAAGAGTCGCACTCACACCGCAGCGGGCGACCGTGACGCGGCGCCGCATCGGCAAAAAGCACCGCCTCATACACACCACCGCAGCGGCACTCACACTGGTACACGTGCACCTGCGCAGCTGCGTCGCACGTCTCATCCGACCCGTCCACCAGATCAAAGTCATCGACGAGGGACAGCGTGTCACTGATGGCGCCGACCTCGCGCACCAGCACATGCGAGCGCACCGCATCGTAGGCGGCCCGCAGAAAAGGATCTAACAAAATCTCCGACGCCTCCTTCACCGCGTGAAACGAAACAGGCGCCACCGCGGCGGAGGACGGGGACGACGTTGCTGAAGCGGCCTCATTATTACTCCTACTGCCCTCGTGGCTTCCCTGACAGCAGCCTCGCTGTTTATCGGGGTGGGTGCGCAGAGCCATCTTCTTGAAAGCGGCCCGTATGTCGCTGACGGAGGCATTGCTGGGTACGCGTAGCACCTCGTACGGCGTCCAGGCCGTGTAGCTCCACGTGCACACCGCCATGCGGGCACAACAACGATGATAAACAAAGGGTGAAGTTCGTAGATATGACGCTGATTGCTTTTCTTTTTTGCTAATTGGCGAGGTCGTCGTGCGCGTGCTCGTGGGACCCCCCCCCCTCCCGACTCACCGCAGCGTGCGAACAGTGAGGGAGAAAGAAAACGCAAGGAAATAATGCATAAAACCCGATGCATCGATGAGACGTAGAGCCCACTTGGACCCTTCCATTTTCATATTGTGTCGACATCCTTTGTCAAGGGGTCCACCTCCGATTAAACAAACAGGTGTCTCGCTCCGCAGCGTACAGGTCGTGGGCTCGCGGGCTGCACAGCCCCACAGCGACGCGCGTAAACTTAACGGCCCTACGAGAGGCGCACACGCAACGGAGAAGAAAGGAAGAGATTTATCCTCCCTTCCTTCGAGGTCCGCAGCTCCCTCCTTGCAAGAGCGGTGTTGGCAGCCGCTCTGCTCGATTGTCGGAAGAAGACAAACAGACAAACAGGACGAAGACGAAAGCACAGCCGTTGACTTCATCCCTCTTCCTCCCTTCTTCCTTTTTTTTTTTACAGCGTTCGTCGGAGTCACGATAAGTAAAAAAAAAAAACTACAAAGACGTTGAACTGCGCAACAGCAAGCGCACCGGCACGGCGAGAATAAAGACGACAGTAAAGAAGGCTGCTCCTCCGGCGTGCCTGCACGGGGAAAGCAAGGAAGGAACGTCGATAAGCGGGGGGAGGGGGGGTAAGCAGCATGCTCATCGTCGACTGCTGTCAGTGTTGGCACGAGAACCCGCTAGTGTGTTTGTGTTTGGTTTGTGGAAACACCAACTGAGAAAAAAAACCCTTCGTTACGTGGTTGCCGCATCTCCGTCCCGCCCCTCTCCCTGCGCGCAATGCGCATGCGAATTACACTGGCAGACCGATAGCTGGAAGTGCACAGAGCCGGTGCCGGTGCACCGACCCATGCACCCGCAGCTCATAAGGAGAAGTAGGTGGCACATGTGCCCTGATGCCTTTCCTTTACTGCCTCGCTTGCCGAGCCACGCCACAAGAGAGAGGGGGGAAAAGGAACAAATATATATCCTTTCCACAGTAGAAAACACAAAGCTAAGCTAAGCTAAGTTCTAAATCCTGCTAAAGATTTGTAACCGGGAAGTTCTCCGTCTCTCACGCTCTTCTTTCCCTTTTCTCCTGCTTTACGCCGTGGCCTCTGCCGCCGCCGCCGCCTCCGCCTCCTCCAACTCACGCAGAATTTCGTTGTTCTCGTCTGCGTCGCCCATGTACAGCTTCCCCACCGGGCACAGCTGCGACACCGGCATGTTGTTGTCCGTCTTCACCTCCAGCTCGTCTAAGAAGGTGGAGATCTCGCTGAGGCCGCCGCGACCGATGTGGCCCAGGTTGAAGTCCTGCGCATGCTCGTTCAAGAAACGCACGCAGCGGGTACAGTGGATGCACCGGTTCAGCACGACACGCGTCTGTGGATCAAAGTAAAAGTCCTCCACCGCCTGCTTATCCTCGCGGTAGCGGGGGATGTCGGAGCCGTAGTTCATGCTGACGTTCTGCAGATCGCAGTTCGTGGCCTGCTCGCAAATCGGGCAGTCGTTCGGGTGGTTGATCAAGATGAGCTCCACGTTGCCCTCCCGCGCATCCCGTACGAGGCGGCTGTCCGTGATGATCGACATGCCCGGCAGCGCCACGGTGGAGCAGGCCACCACGATGTTCTGCGTGCCGTCGATCTGCACCATGCACATACGGCAGTTACCCGCCACAGAGAGAATGGGGTGGTAGCAAAACTTGGGCACGCGAATCCCCTCCCGCTCCAGCACCTCTAACACGTTCTCCTCCTGTGGAATGATCTCCACCGGGCGCTTGTTCACGAACATAATCGCGCGCGGTTTGTTCTCGGCGTACTGGCCAGCGGCGACTTGTTCGGCGGCCATGGTGGCTGCCCCGTCGCGCAGGTACGTGCTGCCGTGTGCGATGTCGGCCATTTCGGAGTTGTACGGCGTCCCGTCCGAGCGGAAGCCGCGACGCGCGCACCACAGCGCTGCAGGGGAGGAAGAAGAGGGCGCCGAGGCGGTCGCCGCAACGGCGGTGGCTGCGCGCAGCGACGGCTGCACACGCCCGAGGACGGTGCTCACAAAGCGCTTCATTGAGAAACGTAAAGTAGCAGAAGAGAGAGAAAACGAAGATGACAATGAAGAGCAGAAGTAAGCAAGAAGTCAAGAGAACAGAAAAGAGAAGACCGCCCGGGTGTGATCGCCTTCTTTCTTCTCCTGAAAGACCAGCAAACACTTACTTGCGCGGCTGCGGAGTGCGTGGAAGCAGTCAGCTGCCGCCTATACACACAGGATTGCACGCCCACACTCGTCAGAAAGGGGAAATGAGCACCAGCGTTTCGCTGTACCGGCGTATACCTGAGTGGGTATCCTAATAATAATACTACTACTAATAATAAATGCAAAAGCGGCTAAGTTAAAGTTAAGTGGGTAAGATGCTATATTATTTGCGGTGGTTGAGTGCGCCACCGTCGACGCGCGATATCTGCCTCGGGGATTGCTGTGGTGAACTATGTCTTGCTTCGGAGACGTACACAGTAGTAGTAGCAGAAGGCGGTAAATCAGAAAGACACGAATGGACATAAGGGAGAAGGAGGAAGAGCGCAGAAGCGTGGAGAACAGTGTGGAGACATTGTCGGATGTATGTGGTAGACTGAGCTGCAACGACGGGTGAAGAAGAAAATAAAAACCTGTGTGTTTTCCAAGTCTTTTTCTCGTATTGCTTCGCTGCCGAACAAAGGTGGCAAAGGTGTGAGACCAAGCGAAAACGGTGAAGCAGTCCATGTCACTGGCAAACGCACAGGTGGATGAAAAGTGATGGATAAACCGATCACACTCCGCTTGTCGCCTGCCGGCAGGACACCTAGCAGGATCAGACCTTGCAGCGAGAAGTGACGTCACCCAAACCGCTTTAAAAAAAAACCCCGAGATGACGTGCGCGCATTGTTGCGTGTACCGGTAACGTGCGCATCGGCTCTTATTGGTCGGGGGTCTCTTTCTTTATATGTTTTATGTCGGGACGCATGCGCGCTACGACCTTCATTTGCAGCAGAAGGAACGAAGAACACTAACGTTAACAAAGCGGCAGAAGTAAAGGAGAGCTGAGGCGAAACAAAGAAGATAAACACACGGGTCGGTGCGGACAGCTGATAATACACTTCTAAAAAAAAAAGGGGATTCCGCAGGACGACAGTAAGCTCCGCTGCGGCGGCACAGTGAAAAAGAAAAGACGCTGCAGTGGTTGGTGCCATTGAGATGCGATTCATCTACCAATGAAGCATCGTTGCCCGCCACGCACTTGTCGTCTTCTTTCCTCCCTTTCCTTCATCCTCGGCATTTCGTCGCACCGCGCAGTTGCGAAACCCGCACTCACACTCCTTCCTTCTCTTTTCGTTTTCTTTTTATCTACGCATCTTGCTGTCACCGTTCTCTTAGGGAGGCTTTTTCTGCTGCCTAACTAGGCGCGCAGTCCTTTCCCTTTCGCCTGTCTCCTCCGTACTCCCCATCCAACACTCGGCATGGTCGAGTCACAATCAAGAAAAAAGGTTGCCGCCTTTGGACGAGTTTTTTCCCCCCGCTCTTCCTTCTCCGTCTTTTTCTTTATTTTCAATATTTTTTCTTTTACGTATTCCAACTTGATTACGACGTCCAGCCTCGATCAACGAGAGGAAAGCAAAGACACAAACAAAGATAAATTCAAAGAGAAAGAATTCGTTGGGGAGGTGTTATACGTGTTTCGATAACGGAACGAAAAGAACAGCCTCCGCCTTTGCTCTTTACGGTAGAAATCATATAAAAAACGCATCAGAGTTGTGTTGCTACATGTCGCGTTAAGAGCAACATATATATATATATATATATATATCTGTTTGTCACACAACGTTATCATCTTGTGACCGAATGTACAGTGCATCTTTGTCTACCACATGAACAAAAGGAAAAATGAAGAGAGAAGTTGCAGCGCGAGAGAGGGCGCTCCAGAAAAAAGATAAGAAAACCAGAAGACTCTTTTCCAGCTCAACCGTGCATGGTGTGCATAGTGTGTTCCTTTGCTTTGGAATACCGAAAAAATGACTTCACCATGCAAACGTGAAAAACGGAGGAGGAGCTCGTTCCGGCTGTGTATCAATACCCTCCGCTGTCGGTGTTCCTTTCCTTTTTCACGAGGCGGCTCCCACACAAGCAAGAATTGAAAGACAGTATGAAATATGGAGGGTATAGATGGAACGCATGGCGAAGAAAGACCGCACGACACACAAAATTTGTACAAGCACGTAGACTGCACCAAACGATGTCAGCATGTTTGTTTGTTGTTTGGGGGAGGGAGGAAGTACGATATCGCAGCTCAACGATACGGCACTTTTGCGTGGTCAATGCAACGTGGTAAGTGGAAAACAGAAGAAGAAAAAAAAGAGCGCAAAAAAAAACACACAGTTTCAAAAAAAGAAGAAGAATATCAACAGAAAAACCAAAGTGTGCGAGCTACTTCGCTTACTTTCTTTTCTTTTAGCGGTTCGGGATATATATTTTCCCTTTTGGACCTCCGCCTCTCTTGCAAAAACAAGGCGTTACCGTTGCCCTTGATGAGGCGCAAACAGTAAAACAGATGGGTCTTCTTTCGTGGTCATCGTAACCCACGCACGCGTCACGGAAACGACGCAGAGAACGGAGGAGGGGAAAAAAGCCGATACCGGAGTGAGCTCTTACGATCTTCACACAAAAGCAGTGCAGAACAGAGAGAAAGAAAAACAATAATAAAGAAGAAGGGAAGGCGCGAACGAAGTTCGCTCATGAGCTGCTGCCTCCAAACAGCAAAAACAAAGCCAAAAGAAGAAAAAACTAAGAAAACGGCATCTACAGTAACGCACATGCATGTGTGCACGTGAGGCAGCAGTCTTCATCTACGAACTGCGATCCATAAAAAAGAGAAGAACAAAAGAAGTATCTAAATTACAGCAAAAAAGGGTGTTGCAAAATAAAAGAAGAACGTTTTTTTATCGTTATTGTTTCCCTTCAACTTTTCATTGCTTTTGGCATCGCTCCCAACACGCGCCTTCATCCATCGCCTTCTCTTCTCCGCGACTCGTCTTGTTGGGGCGGCCGGGGGATGTGCATGCGTATGGGCATGCAAAAAAACGGGATTAGCAAGCGCGCGACTCCAGATTCTCGAGGATGAACAACACACAAAGCGGAAAAGAAAAGCGAGGTGGGACCGTCAGGTCTTGTGAGGTTGCTGTCGGTGTTTTCCTTCCAAGACGACGCCGTGCAGCACCGGCGATCTAACACTGTGTATCCTCCGTTGTTGTCTTTTCAAAAAGAGTAGGCTGCGCGTAACTCCGGCACAGCAGCTACACCTCACCGAACTCCACAGCACACTCTCCCGTACTCCCCCTGCCAGAACCGCCTTGCACTGGGCACAAACCAAAAGAAGGATAGAACGGAGAGAGACAGAGAGAGAGAGATGATTTTTAAAAAAGGAGGGGGCACCGAGATGTCGTAGAGCCGACAATGAAAAGAAAAACAAAAAAAGAGGTAACGAGGAAAGCGCGAGGGCACGCTCCGCCGCGCCAGAAACACGAAACGACGTCATGAGCACACAGTAAAGAAAGGGAAACAAAGGGAAAGGAATGTGGACAAATCAGCTTCGGCAGGGCGGCTGCCCCGCAAAGAAGTAGAAGGAAAAACAAACAGAGAACTAAGAGGAGGGGGAGGGGGGGATCAGAACCACGTATCCTCACGAAACACCGCTCGCTGGCCAAAGGAAACGGTGTATAGGACGATACTGTACAGATAGAAAACGAAAAGGGGTTGAAAAGGCAGCAAGTCAGAATCAAGACGCAGCGCAGCCAATATATGTTAGGGGAAAAAAACAAAGAAGAATCCAAAAGAGAGAGACAAACATGGACATGTCAAACCTGAAAGGCACGGAAGTCGATGCCACTCACGACAGCCGCAGAACAATCACCTTTCATGTAAATATAGGTATATGTGTAGATGTACATGTGAGTGGGATGTTGTTCGCATAAACTCTTACGTCATCAGAAAACAAAAAAAAAGACAGTTCCATGGGAAAGAAAAGAAAAAAAGAAAAAACACGCGAGAGAGAGAGAAAGAATCCATCCTCTACATAAAAGCTAGAGGGTACAATAGGACGCGCTACGTACATCTACGTCTAAGCGGACCGATGCCACGTTCATCCTTCTCCTTTGCATTGTACACGACGTCGTGGCCGCGTACCCACACCCACACATCACCACCACAAAGAAGGTGCGAAGGTGAAAGATTCATAGGCGGGACCCTGTGCGCACACACACAAGAAAACGCACAAGAGCAAGTTTTGCACGATAGTGTGATGGACGGATGGCAGCACCTGCTTCTATTGCGCTGCGACTAATACTCCTCGTCCTTCTCCTCCATCTGCCCCCTGCGGTGCCCCTGCCGATAAGCAAACCGCACCGCCTATGCTTTATCTGCTTCGTGGCCGCGGCGTGTGTGTGTGCGCGCGCGCTCAACAGAAGAAGTTCTGCAGTATATATATATATATATATATATATATCTTTCCTTTGGTACGGTTCCGCAGCACCTTGCGAGGGAGAATGTGTGAAGGGTTTGCCAAGAGCTTTTCTTCTTCTTCTTTGCGGTTTTTGTTAGTGGGGCAGATGATGATGTCTGATTTTCGTCCTGCAACTCCTGGAGCGCTAGGACTCAAGAAAAAAAAGTCCCGCCCTCGCTGTAAATGTCTTGTGAGCGCTGTTGTCTACGCATTCTTTGCGTGCCTGTACGCAAGGTGCAGATGCCCCTCACCGTCGGTATGCTGCTTGGGCCCAGAGATTGGGTCGACCCCGCAGCGCGAATCACTCAGTGCCGTCTCTCGCACTCACCTTCTCGAGTCTGACGACGGAGAGACCTCAGGAGAGATACTCTCCACGTTGCGATGCGGTATCGGCGAGGGAGAAGGAGGAGAGGAAGCGGCTATTGTGATAGCCCCTACCCACCCACCACCCTTTGCCACCAGCACCGTTCTCTTGCGTGTGTGTGTGTGTCAGGGCTTCGTTTGAATGCGCACGGCAAACCCAGCCGCCGCTGTTGCTCCTGACTCTAGAGGGCACTCTTCCCCTAGCGATTTGCACAACGCATTCACGTGTAAACGGCCGCTCTTCGATAGAAGTGCAGACCCACATCGAACTCTTCCCCTCCCCTTGTCAAAATAGTTGAGGGGGTGGGGTGGGAGGAGAGGAAACACCAGCCGTTATATAAGCTGTGCTATGTTCAGCATCTGCTCCACTGAGCACGACGCACGGTGAACCTCCAGAAGGGCCCGCTGCATCACCACAACGCGGCATGAATGCGACTTCGGTGGGTCTCCCCCCCACCCCACACACACACACACACACACACATGTATGCTTGGTAGCCCGTAGGCACACATTGAGAACCTGCGCGAACGCGTTCCGCTGCTGGAGGGGGTTCTCCTCCAGCTAAGCCGCGACCCACGCCTGTCCACCGAGCGAGATAGTTCGCTACCGTACACGAGGAAAGATGGCTAGCTTCTTGGCTTCCTCACGCAGTGAGTGTGTGACCCACCTTGAGGCACCCCGTCGATGAGTTGGCCGGCAGCGTCAGAGGCCTTGTTTTTGCTGTTGCATTACGACATACAAAACAGAGCTGCTCTATGAATGACGCGGCAAGCAAGAACAGACCTCCTACAAAAGAAATGGCAGAGGCGGAAAAGACACTTGAGAACACGAGACGAAGGAGGGGGGAGGACCACGCATATTCGCGGAGCGACTGGCAGAGACACGGCACGAAGCGTGTCTGTCACTCCGACAACACCACATCTGAACGAGAAAAAAAAAACGACGGAAGAGAAGGCTACACTGTCATATCGGCTCGCGTACGCTTGAAGAACTACATAAAAAGAGAACAGGCATGCGTGTGTGAATCCATGCACACACACACACACATGTATATATATACACTAACACACACGTACATGCGCACATGCAGCCATGACAAACCCTTCTTCCCGAAAGCTATTGATTTCTTTTGCTATTGGTTACGCCTGAACGCACAGGAAGCGAAAGAAAAGAAAAAGGAGGGCGTCCTGGGTGGTGTGGAAGCTTCAGAAAAATCACAAATTTAAGGAAGACGTGCCAAACAAGACGAAGCATTCATGTACGTTGCGTTGTACGTTTCTTTTCTTCTCCCTCGCCTCACCTGCACGTCTCCCACCACGGAAACAGAAAAGGGAAAAACAGGGGGAGGGGGAAAAAGGGCCCAGCTCTCTCACTCGTTGATTTCCCTCTCGACTGTTTTATACACGTCACTTACCCGTCCTGTTCTTCTCTTTTTTTTTTTACTTCCACTGCCTCTCTCCGCCTTCATCGCCCAGCCACTTTTTTGGCCTTTCACAGGAGAGAGAACAAAAAATCCATGGCAGGCCACATCGTACTACAAAGGGGTGGGTGGTTCGCGGCAGTAAACGCGTAATGAAAAAAAACAGAGAGAACACGGAGAGGTAAAACGATTAACGAAGAAAAAGGAAAAATGTTCGACCCCAACGACCGAGGAGAGGCAACAGCAGAGAACTTTAAATAGGTTTTTTTTTTTGTGTGTGTGTGTCGCTGCTGTTGTTGTTTTGCGAAGACAAACGAGACCAGCTTTGAGATCGTGAAGTTTCCTTTAAAAACTTTCCGCGGTGAATTCGAGAGGTGCGGGAGAGGAGAGCCCCGTCTCAATAGACGCGCCTCTGTGTTTTTTGTTGTGCCGGTTGTGTGCCGCACGACCTACGCGTCGCCTTTCGCTGGGCGCTCTTTTCCCTTACAAAGCACACGTGCAGACAAAAAAAGAAAAACCCAGCAGCAACAACGGAAGACAAAGGAAAGCTGCAAGAGCCAAAGAGTCAAACAACTCGGTTGTATCGCAGACAGGCCCACGTCACAGAAGCCTAGACATCAATAAAGTTCACGCTGTTCTCCTCAGCTGGTGTTGGAGGCGACAGATTTTTCTTTCATTATAATGTTTCGCAATGCTTCGTCAAGGATCACAATTCCGAAAGCGTCACCGTCGAGGAAGGAGCGTACGCACACACACACACACACACACACACTCAAACACGCACGCGATGTGTCGCCTTCAAAGACATATTCTTTCCTCTTGCGAGCAGCAAGCCCGACAAAGCCGCAGCACACCGGAGAATAGAGAGAAAAAAAAAGGATGTTAGAAATGTGCTCAAAAAATAGGAACGAGCAAAATAAAGGTAAAAAAGAAAAGTTCAGACGGAAAAGCTCGGAAAGAATTGCTTGCGTCAGTGGCACAACACTCCGATAAAACAAAGAAGAAGAAAACAAACAAAAAAACAGCCACACGAAACGAAACCCACGACGGCGTCTTCGAAGAGAGCGTAAACAGAGAGAGAGAGAAAGAAGAGGTAAACTGCCTGTTAAAGCACGAGAAATGAAAAACACCGACGACACGAAGAGAGAGAGAGAAGAAAAAAAAAGAAAACAGGGGAAAAGGAAAACCAACCGACGAAAGGTGACTTGAATATCGAAAGACCCGTTTCTCTTTTTATTTTAAGTCATTACGACTTAACGGCGTTTTTTACGGCGGTGCATGTTGTCCTTGATTTTCCTTTTGGAGTGAAAATAGAAGTGGCTTCCGCCAGCGCACGTGTCAGAGGTGACGACGGCGCGTTAGAAGAGTAAGAAGAAGATAAAAAGAAAACACCAGAGACAAGACGAAGAGAAAAGAAACGAAAGGGAGAACAAAAGAACGCGATAAAAAAATCTCCAAGAAGAAAACGAGAGCAAAAACTTTACATTCAAAACAAAAAGATTTTAGAAGAAAAAGGAAAAACACACTAGTTCAAAATGAAAATGAAGAAGAAGCAACGTGAACATCGCAGTAGTAACTTAGATAGACAGACATAGAAGGGAAATAAATAAACAGGTTCCTTGCTTGTTGGCGTCACGTGTTATCATCAACGCTGCAGAACTCGCCGACACGCTTCCGTATGCATCACATGTTCCTTCTCAGAGTGCAGAAGCAAAGCTGCTGGGAGCATACAAAAGAAAAAAGAAAAAGAAAAAGAAGACGAAGACGAAGTGTGGACCTTCTCGTCAGCCTCTTCACGGCTTTCCGTGAGTACTCAACTATGATCGGCGGCGGAGCGCGAAGAGGTGGCCCTCCTTTCTTTTTTACTTCTATTCGTGTTTTCTTTCTTTCCTTTTGACGGAGAAAGGACGCGATGCGGTGAGGTCAAGGAAGAGAAAAACACCAAAAAAAAAAGAAAACAAAAACAACACAAGCATAGAAGTGATGAAACGCAGACAAGCACAGAAGCTCGCGCGTCTGAAGTGCCCTTCAAGAAGGCGAAATATGGAGAACGGTGTATGAGGTGAGTGGATTCAACGACAGAGACGTGAAAGGGAAAGAAAAAGGAAACACACACAGACACAGACACAGGAAAGGGAGAGACAAGAGATTGACAACGCATAAATCACGCGGTTCAACTGAGTAAAAAAAAAACAAAAAAATACTTGTTTCAACTGTACAGGATTACATGGCGCGATACATCGAGAACTAACAAGATGTGAGAAAATTGAATTATACGTTTAACAGCGGCACGTGAGCAGGTATAGAAAGCAAAAACATGGAGAACAGAAGAGGAAAAGAAAAAACAATAAGGTCGTTCGCTCTGTTATTCATGTCGCCGACTTTCATTCCTTTCATTATTATTAACTTCCTCCGTTCTCCTTTTGAAGGGGAGGAGGGTACTACGCCGATGTACAGCACCCATCCACCAAATAGAGAACGTGAGAGATTGAGACTACCATCCACACAGCTTTACGTATCATCTCCATTGGCGTCTCTCGAGTTTTCTTCTTGCGCTGAGCGCCGAGCCTTTGACGACAACAACAAGAAAAGAGAAGAGATTTTTTTTTTACTTTTCCTTATCTTCTCCGTCTCACACCAGAAAGCAAAGTAGAAAGAAGAAGTGCACGGGTGGGGTCGAAATCATCCGGCAAAGACCGCACAACTTGAAAAGGGTGAAGGAAACGAAAACCAAAAAGAGAACACTGCAATCCCTCGCACACTTTACTTGCATCCCTTCGCGTAACACACCGCCACAAAAGAGGAGGATGAAAAAGGAGGGAAGGAACGAAGAGGGAAAGTCGGCACCCTGAGCGCTACAAGAAGCGAAGAAAAAGAAAAAGAAAAAGAGAAGAGATATACAAATGTATGTAGCTGCGCAAAAGGGGGAAAAAAAAACAATGTACAGAACAAGCAAAAAAACAATAACATATGTTCATGTGTGTGTGTGTGTGTGTTTTGATAACATTTCATGTCTTTTTCCTTCTTCTCTTCGCCAGCGTGCGGTTCAATAATGAATTCGCATCAAATCTTGGTGTGTGTGCACCGTTCTCCGCACCCCCACCTATGTTTTGCGTCTCACGGCGTCGGTGTATGTGCGTGGCGGCCGCTGATAGCAGACCTTCGTGGTGTGGCGATACACGCACAGACACCCACACAGTCTGGTGCGTGCGTGCACAGTCACATTCCTTTTCTCCTCTTTTTACTCCGCAGCTTCCTGCGGTCGCGGCAAAGCAAGTACAGGAATAGCCGTAGGCACCTACATCATCCTTTACCGATAGCTGCATTCCTCGCAACGTAAGAAGCGAGGGGGGGGGGGGGCGCCTCGAGGAATACGCCTGTTGCTGCATCGCTCTGCTGCGGTTCCTCCTCTCGGCACCACCACCACCAGCTACGAGGGAGAGACAACGCGAAACAGAAAACGAAACGGCTCGCTTTTGGAGCTACGCAGCCTCCCCCAGAAAGTAGGGGTTGCCGCCACGCATGGCCTGACGCTGCAGACGGACGAGCAGCTTGTGCTGGCGGTAGCACCGCTGCTCTCGCACGTTCGTGTTCTCATCGTACACCCGCACGTCGGTGTCGGGGTTGAAGAGACACATGCATGACAGCTTCCGCTGCACCGCGCCGAGGCCCTCGCGGTACAGGTCACACTCCGCCTGCTCGGCCGTCATGCGCCACTGGCGGTTGATGAGGCGGCGCTGACGGGGACCCCAACGACCGGCACAACTCGGCGAACGGGCGCCGGCGAAGTTGTCGCTCGCCTGCTGCCGGCTCTTCTCCTTCGTCGTGTCGCGGGCCATGCACTGATGGTACTGATGACGGTGCGCAGCGTTCAGCAAACACTTGAAGGCGGCGGCCTGCTGATGGCTCGAAAACTGGGTCTGGAAGGACTGCATGACCTGCTGGTTCAGCTGCTCCTGCGCCTGCTCGTGCTCACGCAGGTTACGTTGGTACTGCATGTCGAGGAAGGGGTGCTGGTCCGCCGGCGTGCTGCGCAGCGCGGTGACGATGTCAGCCACGTTGAAGGACGCGGAGGCGCTAGAGGACGACGGAGACGATGTGTGCGATTCGGTGTACGACACACAGGGTGTGATATAAAGCGGTGGCATCACCGCCGCCTCCGCCGCCGTCGTGGCGGAAGGAGGCGCTGCATCGCTGCAGCGGCGAGGGGGGGAACTCGGAGGGGTGCGTTGCAGCCCACCCGCCGACGTCGCCTCCGGCGCGCGCACCGTCACGCCGTCCTCCAGCGGGGCAAAGCTGGGCGAGTTTGAACTCCGCTTCGACTCACTCGACGCCGAGAGCGCCGGCGAGGAGTGGCGGCTGCTGCCCTCGTCGCTCTCCCCGTCATCGCTCGCCGTCGTCGCCTTCCCGCGAACACCGGTAAAAGGAGAGTCGTCGGAGACCGCCGCCACCACGCGGTCGCAGGCGTTGTTCGACAGGCGGGCGCTGTTCAGGTCCCACTCCACAATGCGCTTGTAGATGGACTCCTCGAGCTTCGCGGAGGAGGAAGAGGAAGAAGAAACGGACGGGTTAGTTGAGGAATCCTCCGACGCCGTCTTCGATGTCCTCTCCGATCGGCGGATGCGGCTGTCGTGGCGGTTCGGCGGCTGCGACGTCACCGCACCGCTCCACAGGAGATTGTTGAAGGACACGGCGGTCGGCGCATCGACGTGCTCCGACCACCGACGTGCCGGGCGGACTCGGCGGGTCTTCACGCACTTGCCGTTCACGTCGCCGTTGATAGAGTTCCGTGTCTCTTCCTGCTCCGGCGCGTGGGGACGTCTGATGGGGCTGCTGCTGGGGCTGCTGGCGTGCGAGTGACGTTCGACCGTAGAAGAAGAGGGGGACGCGGCACGGACGGCGCACGTAACAGGTGAGTAGTTTCCCTGTTGGCGAGACCACGCCGCGCTCTGATTCTCGCACGCCGCGCACAAACCGTAGGAGTCGGCAACCATCTTCATCGCTCGCTTTGCGCGTGCGTGTGTGTGCGTGTGTACCGCTGTTGAAGATCCTTGAAAGCGTCGTTCAAAGAAAAGCGTTCGAACGTAAAAACAGAAAACAGAAACGAAGGAGAAGAGGAGAGAAGAAACACGTACGAGAGCGTGAAGGGCCTGACAAGACGTATGCTCCGGCCACGACGCGTTCAGCAGCGCTATTTCCGTCCTTTCGCCGTCCGAAGAAACGAGGAGATAACTAAAAAATACAAGCAAAAGAGACACGAAAAATACAAACAAATACACACAGACAATATCGGCGCAGAAACAGCAGGGAGAGTCGGGCACGTAATAAATGTGTCGCGCAGTACCAGTATTAAAACACAAGAAAAAAAATGGAATAGTACGAAGATAACGCGCAATATCGATGAAAGAAGATAAAAGAAGAGGTGGCACAACGAAAGGGTGAAAAAAAAAATACAAAAGGGAAATCTCTAAGAAGCCGCGAGAAGCACGCAGATCATGCATGCACACGTATATCGCCAAATGTGAAAAGATAGCTAGCTAGATATATATACGTGGAAACGTATGTGACCTGGATAATAGCAAGAAGAAGAGCAGAAGCACTTTTTCCCGTTTGCAATCAAAGACGAACGGTAACACAAGAAAAAGTTCCGAAGACACAAATCAATAACAACAGTAAGAACCGATGTAAAAGAATGAAAAGAACGAAAAGAAAACACGAAGGAAAAAGCGCGTCGGGTACAAGAGAAGAAAAATGAGAAGGGGCAACCACAAGAAGACCACAACGATATGTTGCGTCTTGCGTTTTGCAAGAGCGCGTGCCTAATCTGCAAAAGAAAGAGAAAAAATTCCTGCTTACCTTTTTCACCCCCTCTGTTCACTGTTCTGGATTTTTCTTGGCGAGAGAAAAGAAACACAAAAAAAAAGAGAATAAAAAAAATAGTGGGGCAGTGGTGAGCAGTAAAACTTTTGGGAGGTGGGTGGTGAGCGTGAAGTGAAAATACTGGTAATACCAGCACTAGCGTTGACAAGGAAAATATCGATGTGTGCTCAGTGCGTTGAATAGAGGGGCTTTAAAAGGGGGAAAAGGGGAAAAAAAGATTGTGATGGGAAGTGGGAATAGACAACAGAGAAGCGAACCAACGACGTTGAGAGAGAGAAGCACTTCAGCTCTTGGTAGACCGCTGTGTTACCTGTTGAAAGATTCTCTCTTCGAAATTCGTCTTTTTTTAAAACAACTGCTTGTGTATGTGTGGGAGCGCACGCGTCGGAGTACGTGTGTGCGTGCCGATGTCAGAGTGAGAATGACGAGAAACACAACGAAGAGAAAAGAAGGTGAAGGAAAAGAGAAGAAAAAAAAACAACGATTTAGCTGACTTCACCAAAACAAAAAATAAGAAGAAGAAAAAAACGGAGTCGCTATGCGTGATGAAACCGAATTCAAGTGAGAGAGCGCGGAGAGAGACAAAAAAAGAACGCTGTAGACTTCCTTTTGCTGCTGCTGTTGCTCCTACGGCGCTCGCGCACGGTACAGGAAAACAAAAACACAAGGGCAGCTAAGAAGAAAACAAATGAAAAGACAAGTTCGCGTGTGATCGCTTCGTCTGCAGGACGAGACAGAAGGCAAAGCAGGACAGAAAAACGAGCGGGCCAATGGATTGACTCTTCACTTCCGTCTAGGTGTATCTGTTTGTTATCGAATCGAACTGAGCGGGAGACAGGAAGAACGCAGAAGGCTTGTTGCGGATCCGATAACACGTCAGCACTGCCAGAGAACGAGAAACGAAACCAACGAACAATAAAGAAGAAGAAAAAGAAAAGGAAAGACTATTCTTCCTTAACACCAATCAGCGTGAGATCGAGAGAGCTATTATCTTTTTCTCAGTTGAGCAAATACAGATCAGAAGGGAGAACGACGTTGAGCACTATTCTCAGGAAAAAAATATATAATAATATGGCACCAGCAGGCGTGCTCCCTCAAGTAAAGCATAAAACAAAACGAAATAAACACGTGTGTTTGTGGAATTTGAAAAACAAAAACCAGAATGTATAGACAAACGAATAAAACGCGCGCTCCTGTTAATTCAGATTGCGTATACGAGAGACAGACAGAGAGAGAGAAGAAAAAAGAAAAGGACAGAGCGAGAAGAAAGACTGAGAGACCCCCGAGGGCGAAATCTCGCAACGTTGGCAGCGATTATGCTGCTGACGCCAAAACGAAAAAAAAAGAAGATGCTGAAACGAAAAAAAAAACCGAGAGTGAAAATTTGATTGTCGAAAGAAGTCAGAAACAGCGAGATATGGAGAAGAGCGGCGAATCGATACTCGTATATATATGTGTGGGTGTGTGTGGGTGTGGGTACGCAGAAGTGAAAACAGGACGCCTATCAAAGGCAATCTTTCCTTGCTCTCGACCGCTCTCTTATAAAGAACTTCGTTTCTGAACTTCAGAAATGGGGAAAAAAAGGAAGAAAAAAAGGGTAGAGGAGGTTACAAGATAATAAAAAACACCGTCTCTTCCTAAATTAGTAAAAAAAAAAAATTCTTCTTTTAAAGGGTTATGTATGTATGACGCAGGATCGAGCAAAAACAATCTAATCAGGAGGAAGAGAGAGAGAGGCAGACAACGAACGAAGGTAAAACAGGGAAAACAAACTAAACTAACAAGGACATAGAGAATTAAACAATAGACACGTTTATAGTTCAAATACGACTCGGCAACAGAGAACCAAAAAAACAAAAAGATGAAGAGCTGAACAGAAACCGCAACGGCCGGGAACGTGAAACGCACCAACGTTGCGCGTCTGCTTATCTTTGTTGTCGCTGTTGCTGCTGGTGTAGGTTGTTGTCTTCACTGTCCTTCGTTATCGACGTGTGTTGAAGTGGTAGGAGGCTACCGGTGTATAAGCGCACTCTGTGGGAGCGAATTATAACCCAGTAGTCAACACCGTCGAAAATGTCCAAACTTGGCACTGCGTATTGTGGTCTGCAGGGGACGACGCTTCAGAGCAACTTGACTGTAGACGTGCAAATGTATGCTGCGAAATAGAAAACTAATATAATATAAATGTAAGGGAAAACTGAATCGGTGTTACCTTGGCAGACTGATGATATCTCTCTTATACCTTTCATGACGAACGCGTTTGTTCCGAGGGTAAGTGTGTGGTAAAGAGAGAGCGAGAGAGATGGCAGGTCAACAAAGACGAAGAGGTGGAGGGGAACAGAAAAAAAGAAAAGAGAGCGCGAGGAACGCTTCGGTAGACAACATGGATGTATCAAAGGAGATGGCAGCTTCGCGGCATCTGCCTCCGATGTTTCTCTCCTTTCAACGTCAACGACGTGGGATGTACTTTGCCACTCAGCGCGTGCGCAACGGAAGCCGCAATACAAGCTGCGTGCCTTCGTTCGCTCATGTATTCGCCTGCGCTGTAGATCACTTGTCCCTCTCCTAGAAAAGAAAAGGACTTTTTTCCTTGAACTCTATATTCCTTCTTCTTTTTCGCCTATATATGTTGTTGTTTTCTCGTGAGTGTGACGACCTATAGCAACAACAGCGCGGTAGACACCCATAGCGCCCGCTGCCTCCACCCGCTCACAGTGCTACTCCTCGCTCGGCCCTCTTCGGTAATCCACGGAGACGTAGGAGTGCAGAAAGCTAAAAAGGCAAAGCACCCCCACGCAGTACACGTAAGAAATTCGCCTCGCACGCGCCCGTTGCCATCGCTGCATCTTGCCGAACTCGCCCTCACTGATGATGCCGTCAATGCGCTGCAGGACCACCAGCGAGCACATCCCCACGTTCTCAAAGCCGTTGTCGAGCAGCATTTCATGAAACACCGGCATGTGCGCCGCCCCCCATGGAATGGCAAACGTCTTGTACAGGTTATCGTTAAGGGGGTAAATCATGTTCAGGCAGTGCTGCTCGCGCCGCACGCTGCCGACCACCGGCGCGTTGAACCGCACGGAGCACCACCACGGCAGCCTCTCGTAGTCGTACCGGTCCGCAGCGTGCACGACGGTGTGATACGGGGAGTCCTCCACCCCCCACGAAAATGGCTGGAAGAACTTCTCCACCTCCCGCGGCTCCCAGCCCTCGTCGTCGTCGTGCTCCGGCGGGCGGGGGGGCGGCACACGCGGGCGGGGCGGCACAATCGTCGAGTACGGCGCCCCGCGCAGCGGTGTGCGCCCCTCCATGAGCACCGACTCGTGCTGCGCGCAGAGGTCGTCGACCTGGCGAAAAAAATCTGGGTGGGCGAAGTGACGCAGTGGGATGAGGGTGACGGTGATGTTGTGCACTGGGTGGCGGTAGGTGTGCGCGATGGCGGTGACGACGTCGTCGTGGCACGATAAGAAGTCGGTGAGACGCTTGCTGCGCCACGGCGCGGTGTAGCGCAGACACGGCGCGTAGACGAAGTGACGAGCAAGGGGCGCTGCAGCGGAAGAAGCGGACGCGGATGTCTGTGCCGATGTTGAGGAAGAATTGTTAGCGGTGGTGTCATGATCCACCTCTGGTGTCCACGGCGTCGTCGACGTGGCAGGAGTAGCGGTGCAGGCGCCGCGTCGCGCCGACCAACACGCTGCGAGGTAGCGCGTGGAATGTGCGTGCACAAGACGAAGGCTTCGTCGGCGCGAAGCGGAAAGCGCAACCGCTGGTGCAAGCGAGCACATCTTCATCAATCTATCTAAAATATTGCGTGCGTGGGTCTGTGTGTGTGTGTTCCTTTTTTGATGTCGCCCTTGATGCTCCCCTCCTTCACAGCTTGTCTCGGTTGGGAGGGGGGGGGGTAGGGGGGGCATTAGCAAAAGAGGCGTTTTGCGGCGATGATTGGGCATTCGCCGAACGTGAGGTGAAAAAAAAAATGTTGAAGAGAAAAAAGGAGTGGAGAAGGTGAAGGAGAAGCCAACGCGGGGGTGCAGCACACAACGCTGGGCGTTCCGGGTGCCGTTCCATCTCCGTGAGGCGGTGCTTTTATCGCCTCATCTTTCCAAAACGGTGTGCCAACCTCCGTGTCTTTGTGTGTTCTTTGCTTTCTTTCGTTTGGAAAAACAGCTTCCATCAGAAGTCACTTTGAGGCCTCAAGAAAAGAAAAAGGAAAGCCAGCGTTCCACAACAGCGGACATCCGTTTCTTCCACAAGTTGCCGTGTCGATCAACGCGAGGAGGAGAGGACATGACGGTCTCATACGCCCTCCCACCCACCCCTTCCCCTGCGTCGGTGCACGCAAGACAGCAGGGCAGCATATTTTTCTTTGTTGTTGCTCTTTCCCGGACTCTGAGCAGCAGCGCAAAGCAACAACGACGACGACATACAGAGTGGCGCAGGGAGGAAGGGAGAGCGCAGTGTGTACATGAATTTCACATCATCAGCGAAATAAAGAAGCAAAAAAAAAGTGACACATCATCAACAAAGGGGGGAAAAAATGGAAGACAGTCGCCTTTACAAAGATGATCAGAACGGCACGTCCGTGCACCTTCGTGTGCGACCCGAGTCACACAGCGGGGCAACGGCGCACGCGCCTTCAGTTCACCCCGAAAGAGAGAGAGGAAAGAAACAAACTTCAACGTTACATCGATTTCGCAAATCGTTTTTGGCCCACGCGTCGATACGGGAGAACACGTTAGATCCACTTCTCATCCCGCTCGGCGTTGGCAACACGCAGCTTCTCCATGTTCAGCGTGTGGAGCTGCACCATCCCCTTCTCAAAGCCAGCCACCAGCATCCGCTGATCTGCCTTCTCATCCTTCGCTGAGATATCCATGCAGGTGCAGACGCCCGTGTCTGGCTGCGTCAGCACGTGGGAGCACCGCGGGGTCTGCCGGTTGTGGTGAGCGAGATCGACCATGTGCACCTCACCACCCTCATCCAGCGCCCACACTACCCACGGCGTCGCCCCGCTGCACCGCACGGCGATGATGGGGTGATAGCCAACGTCGACCGTCAGCTTCGGCGTCGCCTCGTTGTGCAGGAACGGCCGCAGCGTGCCGTCCTCGTAGCCGACGACGAACCAGCGGGGGTCGAGCACGCAGTAATGCACACAGCACGGGACGGCCACCACCGTCGCCGCCGTCATTTTGGCTTTGTCGCCTGGTAAGTTGCAGTAGGTCGTCTGCGAAGGGCCGTAGAGCGAGGGGACGGCGATGCCGCCGAAGCGAGAGCGGCGAACCACGCCGTGCGGGGCGGTCAGAACGTACTGTGCCGCGTCCAGCGGTGAGAAGTCGAAGGAGGAAGCGACGCCCGCGCCGTAGCCCATCGCCGCCGTCGCGTCCGCTGCGCCGTCTCCCACGTGCGGGTCGTAGGCCGCAGCGGAGGTGCCCTTCGCCAGGTGAAGGCTCACACTCGTGAAGGGGTGCTGCCCGTAGTCGTTGTCGATCAGCTGGGCGCCCTTCGCGCTGCTCTCCCGGTCCGACACCACCCAGAAGCACACCACGCCCCGCTCGTCCATCGACACGAGCTGCTCGTGCTGCTCCTCCTTGCGCAACGGGGTCTTGGCGTTGTAGCCGGAGACCCGCACCTGCCGCACCGGCGCGTTGTGGCCGTCCGCCTGCCAGCTCGTGCTGTAGGAAGGCAAGTGAAAGACAACCTTTTCGTAGCGGCCGGCAGCGAGGTGCAGCCGGTCGGGCTCCCGCAGGCTCCACACACAGACATTGCCGTCTTCGGTGCCGCCGTAGATGAGGTGGGGGGAGGACGGGCTGACGCACACCGACGTGACGGTCGAGAAGGACACAAGCACGCGCTCCGGCGTAGTCGTGTCGTGCATGTTCCACAACAGCAGAACCGACATGTACGTGTCCAACACCGGCGAGGGGCCGCTCTCGTCGCGGGGGCCGTGCAGGGCAATCAGTTGCCGCGTGTTGGACGGGTTCAGCAGCACCTGCACCAGCGGCCGGTTACGCGTGCCGCGCCAGCAAAACGTCGAGTACGTAGAGAAGGCCGTCGAGCCCTTCGGTTTGCTACTGCTCGTGCTGCCATCGCCGGCCGACGCGGCGGAGGAGGCTGCCACGGCTGCCGCTGCCGCACCGGTGGCCGCGGCGTTGTTCTCGTCCAGCACCGCGCTCATGAGCGGGAGGGTGCTCGTGAGAAAGCGCTCGAGGAGGGCCGCATCGACGGCGCGGGTCGCTTTCGAGCTGCTGTCGTTATTGCTGCTTTCTTTCTCGTTCGCAGTTTTGCCAGCTCCCTCCTCCACGGTCCCATCGCCCCGCCCGCTGCTGACGCCGCGTTGCAGAACGTTGCGACGCAGCTGATAAAACTGCCGCTCCGCCTCCTCCTCTGGGCAGAGGCCCAAATCGTCCGGCGCCTGCGCCGTGCGTGTCCGCTGCCGCTCCCGCTCTGCCTGCGTCGCCGCGTCCAACCGCTCTTCTTCGGGCGGCGCCTGCACCCCGACCTGCTCCCGCCCGCTCTTCCCGAAGTCACGGATGTATAAGTCGTAGGCGGTCTGCGGGGCGAGGTCGAGCACGACGCCGCTGCTGCTGTCGAAGTCGACGAGTCGGCGCAGCGCCGTCGCACGGGCGAGGTCCTTTTGAAACTGCGCCCTGTACGCCTGCCGCTGCAGCTCGCTTGCGTCGAATGCGGTGGTCGGGCTGGGGCCGGCCGATGGGGGCGTCGCCTTCCGCTCTACTTGTCCGGCCTCTGCGCTGCTGTCACCGTTGCCCATACTATTCCTGCCGTCTTCACCGCCTCCTTCAGCAGCGGCGGCAGCGGCCTTCGCGGCGTGTCGCTGACGACGACGCTCATCGCGCTCCGCCTGCTTGCGCGCCGCCCGCTCCTCCTCCGTCTCTTTCCGCTGTCTCCCATTCTTATTGTTGCCGTCGTCGTTGGTTTGCTTTGTCTCCCCAGGCGGGGCGGCAGGGCTACGAGCGGTGTGCTGCGTGACCACCGCGTTGTTCTCTGCCTCGATGGCGCTGAGCAGCGCCGCGGTGTCGTCGATTGGCTGTGATGAACTCTTCTTCGTTGTTGGTGTTGGTGTGACGGTCGCCGCTGCTGCCTCCGCGCGCGAGGACGCGGGCGCGTCCTTTCTTCTGTCATCTGGACTGTCCTGGTGAGGGTGGTGATGGTGCCCTGCCGAAGGCGTCTCTTCGCCCTTCCCGTTGGTTGCTGTCGCAGCAGCGGCGGCGGCCTCCCCTTCCTGCTTCTTCGCCGCCTCGCGCTGTGCACGTCTTTTCTCCTTGCGGATCCGTCGCTCCTCTTCGGTTTCTTTCGTCTCGCGTGCGTCAGACGATGTGGCGCCGGCAGCGGCAGCGGCAGCGGCAGCATTCTGCTTCGCCTCCTTTTCGGCTGCGCGGCGTGCGGCCTCCTTCTTCTTCTCCCTGCGCAGACGGCGCTCTTCCTCCGACTCGGACATGTCGTGTGGGGGAGCGGATGAAACAATCAGGAGCCGAATACTACGTGTGTTCGTCTTTCTTCGTCTTTGTTGATTGCTTTGCGTGCGAGTGGGTGTGGTGGTAGCTTCGATGTTGGCGTGAGGTGCTACTGCGCAGCCAGCAGAATCGCGCACGTGGCCACGAACCCGAAAGAAAAAGAAAAAGAGAAACAAAGGAAGGTGAGACGTGCGGTGGAAAGCTGCTTCAGAGAAGCACAACGCGTAACACGAATAAAACTAACAGGAGAGCAGGGAAGAGGCTTCGAGAGTTTTCGCAGAAACCGAGAACAGCATCGCCGCAGCCCAGCTGAGTACGACGCTTGCCGGCTTCGGAAAATCCGCGCCGCCGCGATAACACGCAAAAAAAAAAACCCAGCAGTCGTGCGTTGATATTATTACTCTTCACTCTTTCTTTTTGTTTCTGTGTTATTGGTTAATGATATTCTGTTGCTTCATCTGATGTCGAAGGCGCTGACGCCGCTGTCTGTGTGTCTGTGACTAAGGAAACGAAATCGAACAGTCCATGAGAGACACGAGCCACGGTGGAGAGGGCGCCTCTCCAGAAGACGCGGCCAGCCGCCGTCTGCGGCGCGGTCGCGGTTGTCCGCGGGGTGCATCGTCACCCCGCGGAGAGTAAGTTGTGGCATCGCATGCGGCGCACACATCGCGATGCAGTGCGGCCAGGTGCTGCTCTCGGCTGCGCCACCAAGAACACAGGGCTGCATACGCATCCGGTATCACATCCACACTCACCAGAAAAAAAAGAAGCTGCAACAGCCGTGTCGGTAGACACTTCAGGGTGCGCGTCGGCATCTCCGTAGCGGCTGCCGCCGGAGGCGCGGAGGACAGGAGGCGGCACGGTGCACCTCCACGCCTTTGCTCCGTGGTGTTCGACAGGCAGCGGGTGACCTCCGCACAAAGCCATTCTGCCAGCAGCAAGCCGACACTGTCTGTCGTGCCCTTTTCTAATAGTTGTAGGCCCTGTACGCAGCACTTCATCGGACGAGCATCACCACCACCACCAGCACCGCCGCCGTTGCACCATGAGGAGTCGTGCCGCAGCGCACGAGAGAGAACGGAGTACGCCTCACTGGGAAAAGGGAAAAGAGGCACGACGATGCCCGCGGCACCACTCGAGGCGGCGCCGACGCAAGAGGAGGAAAGGAAGAGGGAGGTGGCCGTGCTCGTAGAGGATGCACGACTGCGCGGTGGGACGTGCGCGGCATCGACGCGCAGACGGCAAGCGCGTAGCAAATATTCTTCTTTACGCGTCTGGCGCACATACCGTCGCCAGTGCGCAGTGTCGTCCTGTGTGGCCCGCACCCACAATCCCCGCTGCTCCGCGAGGCTGCGCCACAGCAGCGGCACGGTGCACTCCTCCAGTAACACGTACAGAAGCGGGACGACGTGCGCGGTATAGAACTCTGTAAAAGAAATCGCCCGCTTGCGCTGCCCCGCTGCATGAGAGGGTGAGGAGGAGGCAGAGGAGAGGCCAGCATAGCAGCGGCGCACCACACCACGAAGTCGATCCCACAGGGCAACACCCTCAATGACCCGATGCGCTACACGCGTGTAGGGCAAGTCGCACCCACAGCTCGCGAGGCCAATGGGTGTGCCGGTCGCGGCATCAAACGTCAACGCTTGCTGAGGCAGCGAAGGACGCGGTGTGTTGGGGCGCAGGAAGTGGGAGGCGTAGTCGGCAAACGGCATACCAAAAATGCTCTCAAACGGGAACGCTGCGATGGCTGCATCACGAGACACCCGCACACCTCTGTGGGACGTGTGCGCCGACAACGACTCTTCCTGTGGAGTGCGAGCCGTGCACCTGACGCCGTGAGATGCACGATCCACGTGAGAGCATCGCTGCTTTGCAAGTTGCACTGGGCCGGCTTGCGAAAGAAAAGGAAAAACCGTACTAATGCATGCAGCCTTGCGTGGGTGCTCGCTGGCTCGTGCTACAAACAGCGTCCCTTGGGTAAAGCCCTCCCCCAACAGCACGTCTTCTTGTGTCTTCCAGTAGCTGCCGTAGCACTCCTCCACGTATGCCACGTAGCGCTTCCATTGAGTTCGGGTGAGCTCGAAGAAGTGTTCGTCGTGCCGACGTCGTGGGGCGCTCTCCCACGGCCGATAAATGCTGTTCGTCGCCTCAGTGAAACTCCGCTCGCAGTCTTGTGCCGAACCCCTCCGCTGTTGCAGCGGATGCCGTGGAAGACGCGTGTTTTCGTCACGGTTCGGCGTCGTCAGCAGCACGACCCGTGCGCCGCGCGCCGCACCCAGCTCTGCAAAAAGGGTGTACGTGTAAGCGGCGACCGCATGCGGCGGAATGTGCTCAATCACCTCGATGCTGCACACCGCGTCCACCGTGGCGTCATGCACCGCGGCGCTATCCGTCGCCGGCGCGCCAGGGGCAGAGGAACAGGAGAACGAGGAAGACAAAGAGAGCGGATAAGGCAGCCACTCCGCTGGTACGGTGACACACGACGTCAGATCCCCTTGTATGCATTGCACCGTGCAATCCGCCGTGTAGGAGGCGACGGTGAAGGAAGAAAAGGGCAGCACTTTCGACACCTCCCGCAGCGCCTCGCCGTCGATGTCGATCGCGGTTACCGCCGTCAGCTGCACGTGACTAAGTGAAGAAGCGTGCATCAGAAACTGCAGCAGGTCACCGCGGGAGCAGCCGGCATCGATGATGCGGCGACACGAGTAACGCTGCAGAACTCGATGGACCAGTTGCGCTCGTTGAGAGTACAAGGGAGGATTGAAAACGAGGCCATCCTCCTCCTCTCGCTCAACCTTTGCGTCGGATGCAAGGGCGCTATTCGCGGTGTCCGCTGCGCACTGCGCCATTACCGTCTTGGCTGCCCATGGGGATATTAGTGTGCGTGTATCACATACCAGCGAAGAGGGGAGGGAGGAATGAGAAATCGGAGAAGAAGTGCTGAATTGGTTTCGAAAGAAGCAAAAAAAAAGTTAAGTACATCAGACTTGTATTTGAATTCGCTGTCAAGTTAAAGCGCCAGCTGCGACGCTGCAGCAAGGAAATCGTTGGGTGCTACTGTAAAGCGACTTGACGTAGCTGCAGAAGAAACCACATCCCAATACAAAAAGCAGAAGACCATCATAAGGAGCGCATTTGGTGCACAAGATGGCCCTTCGCATCACGTTTTGGCACTATCTGCGTCGCAGCAGCAAGCCCAAATCTGTTATGTGCGGGTTTACTGCGTATCTGTGTGGAATTCGTTGTCGTATGGATTGGAAATAAATAAAAATTTGTCTTCTGCCGCAGCAGTCCTTTTTCAGTACTTCTATCCATTTGTCGTTGATAGGCGCGCGCGATGCCTTCACGCACGACTTTGCCCTTTTTCCGCGGTTGTTTCCGCTATTCTTTTGTCCTCCCTCACGGATCATCCCGCTCACAACAAAGGTCACCCCCGTCCAACTCGATTTGCTGGGCACCGCGTCGTCTCACACGTTCTGCGTAAGCGTTGCCGTATCCCTGTCGCCCTTTCCCGTCTCCTTCGTCGGCGCCTTCAGATGTCCGCCGCCTCCATACAGGCTTCGTGAGCCAGCCTGAGATGGGCCTCCCTCGCCGAAAGGCCCGCGTTGTGGTTGCTGCTGCAGTGGCGGCACAGGAGGCGCAAGCGCGTTCTGCTGCTGCTGTTGCAGCTGTTGCGAAGGGTGAGAAGACGAATTGGGGGTCCAGCCGCCATACCCGCCACCACCACCACCACTACCTCCTCCACCGTTGTTATTGTTGCTGCTGCTGCTGCCGCCACCGCCTCCACCGTACGTGCGTCCCATCAGTCCCAGGCTGTTGCCGCTGCCCGTGACGCTGGCCGCGTTGTAGCCGCCTGAATTAGGTGACGCGTGTTGGTGGCCGAGGCGCACGTACAGCTGCGCGGTACCACCGCTGCCGCTGCCCACGTGTACGCTACCGGTGGTGTGCGACGGGGAAGACGTTGGGCCGCCGTTGTTGACGCCGTTGGTGTTTGGGTGCCCGCCGCCTCCACCGGGCATCATCATCGCGGCGCTCGACATGTACCCGCCGTTGTTGTGCTGCTGGTGGTGGTGCGGAGGATGTGCGTGGAAGCGCTGTTGCTGCTGCTGCTGTTGCGGCTGTGGGTTGTAAGGACCACCATGACCGCCGCCTCCGCCGCCGCGACCCATATTTGCGTGCATCGCCGCTGCTGCGGCGGCGCTCTGTATCGCATAGTAGTCCTCTTCGGCAGATGTCAGCATTCGCATACCCATGTTTGCTGGGCCGTACGTCTCCATGGTACCGGCGGACGCCGGCCCAGGAGAATACAACCCGTGTGGCGGCATCATGGACGGCGTCGCAGCCCCGCCACCACCACCGCTGCTGCTGCTGTTGTTTAGCATCTGAGGCTGTAACGGAGAGGCATGCGGGGCTTCCATCGGCGTACCTCCGTACAGCACCCCATTGTTGGTGTGGGTGTTGTTGCCGCCTCTTCCGCCGCCGTTGCTTCCCTGAGTGCCCGTGTGCACGGTGCTGCCAACGCTGTTCGCCTGCGACATGGCCGGCACCATGCGAACCGGCGGCACCATCGCCTCTCCCAACGGCCCGCCGCTGCGTGCCGCCTCGCTTGTGTCCTCCCCCGCCATTGCCTCCTCCAGCTCTCCGGTTGCGTGCTCCACCGGATTGAAGCGACGTCCTGTGCTGTTTGTTTGCTGCGGTGTCTGTTTCTGTTGGGACAACGCTGCTTTGCCGAATGGCAGAGGAGGATTCATAGCCTGTGACGATGATGAGGAGGGCTGCTGCTGCTGCTGAGGTGCCGGTGCCCGTGTGTTGGCCCCACTCAGCGCAGTTGGGCTTGTCCGTGTGGTGGGTGAACCAACAGCTGCGGCGGCTGCGTGGAAGATGAGCTGCGGCTCACACATGCGATGGATATCGGGGGTGCAGAGCAGAGACGGACAGGCGCAGGTCGGGCATCGCGGCACGCCCTCCAGCGCCATCTCCTCCGCACTCTCGCGGTTCCACGGGCAGTTCGACGCGCTGTTCTTGCGAATTGAATCGATAGAGCGTGGAAACAGCAGCTGCAGCACCGCCACCTCTCGCCGCGTGCACTGCGAGTGGGGGGCGGGGTAGCCGGGATAGAGCAGCGAGTCTTCGCCGTCGTCACCGCCTTCTAATCTTTCTCCTAGGTTGTAGTTGTTTCCAACAACCGCAGCAGCATCAGCCGTCACGTCCTCCTCGCTCGCCGGGGTGCCGAGGATAGGCGGTACAGCCCCGTTGTTGTTGTCTACCCAACTGCGACAGCTACTCGTCCCGCTGAGCGCGGACTGCTGAGAGGCCGGCGACGCGGCATCCATCGCGTTGGCAGCTGTTCCTCCTCCTGCTGCCGCCGCCGCTGTGGTTGCGGTGTTTGCTGAGGTACTCAAGTGGCCATCTCCGCGATACACATCTCCACCATCACCACCTCCAAGCTGCCGAGAGGCGACGTCCAGCAGGCGAATCCCTTCTAAGAACGCGCACCGGATGCGCTGCAGGTGATTGCGGCACACACCCCGCACCATGTTACTGCTCCACCGCAGCGGGTCCAGCACGTTCATGTCGCGCACCGGGAAGGCCGCCGTGTTGCACGACGGGCACATCAACCCGGCGTCTTCGCTGCTGCAGCCGGCACGATCGAGCTGGACCGGCGTGTGTAGATCTCTGCTGTTGCTGCTGCTGCCTCCCCTTTCCTCACACTTCGCCTCCTCACCAGCCTCAGCGGACACAGTAGCAGCGGTGGCAGCTCGGCGAGCGTTGTGCTTCGCCTGCCGCTCCGCTCGCCGCGACTGGTTCACTTCATCCAACAGGTGCCGCACGCCACTCACCGTCAAAAGCGGCTGCTGACGGCGACGGATCAAATGGCCAATCGTCGCTTCACCTTCCGCCGTTAAGCCCAGAAAGTTCACATCGGCGGCGGCGTGGTTCGCTGCTGTGTCCCCCGTCAGCGGGCGGTTGTGTGCCGCGTCCACTTCCAGGTAGCTCAAATCTAACGGGGTGGAGTTGATCTTCTGCAGCGGCAGCGGACCAAAGGCGGTGACGGAGTAGTGATCGAAGTCGAAGTACGCGTAGAACTTGACGAAGCGGGCCAGCAAGGTGAGAGGGGAGAGTCGGTGGAAGGCGCCGATGGAAGGGCCTTTTCCTTGGCGATCTGCGCTGTTCGTTGCATCTTCTTTTTGGTCCTCGACCGCCGATGATGCATGTGCCGCTGGACCCGCCACGCATTCATCATTGTGGTCGCCACTCCTCTCCCAATCTTCTTCACCACCGCCACCGCCGCGGTGTGCGGCACTGGTTGCAGAAGATGGGGAGAAAGAGGGCGACGAGGAGGACGATGACGTGTGTTTCGTCGGTGTTGGCGTCGCGGCCGACTCGCCCTTCTCTGGTGTTGCTCCACCCGTCGTTGCACGTTTCGGCGATTGCACGGCGCCGCCCACGATGTCCTGCTGCGCTGCGTCGTGCACCATCCGACTCGACGCAGAGCCGGCTCTCTTCGCCGCCGCACTGCGCAGGGGCACGCCCTCCACGTCCTCCAGAAACTCCACCGTGTTGATCATCGAGATGAGCATGACGGTCGCGGCGTACGAGCCGATGTAGCCCGCCTGCCCACCCAGCACGTGCGCCTCGAAGGAGCTCCACGCCTTCAGCAGCAGCAGCGTACGCTTCAACAGGTGTTGCCCGCCAATGGCAGCGTCCATCTCGTGCAGGAAGCGCACACAGTTTACCCCGCCGAACTGGCCAATCGTAATGTCGTAGTTGCAGCCCTCCATCACCAGCTTCAGCACCCGCACCTCGGCCATCACGAGGGAGTCGACGAAGATGGGCGTCTTGGAGTTGCGCAGGTAATCCCGTACGCGGCCCAGCACCTCGCCGGAGGCGATGCTCAGCACCGCCGGCGCCGCCAGACGCGGCTGGCCATCCGCCGTCGTGGTCAGCTGCATCGTGCCATCGACGTCGCCGGCGCTGCTGTCCGTCGTGACTGGCGGAAGCGCGGGCTTCATTGCGGCTGCAGCCCTCTGCGCGGCAGCCTCCTCCGGTGTGGGCGGCGGGGGTGGACTGCGGCTGGCCTCCGTCGACAACAACCCATCCACCTCCACCGTCACGTCGTTGTCACCGTCAGGCAGCACCGTGCGCATATTGACGCTGCCGAAAATGTAAAACGAGATGTCGCCGTACTCGTGGCCCGTCTGCCGGCCGGCATGGCGTAAAGCAGCGGTGATGTACTCGGCGAGGGTGCGCAGCTGTTGCCGACGGCGCTGCAGGCAGGGCAGTGAGGGAGTTAGGTAAGTCAGCACCTCCTGCTCCACGAGGCGACACAGGCGGGGGCTGACTTCCGGGGTGAAGGGAAAAGGATTCGGAACAGCAGCAGCATCAGCTGTCGCACGCATTCCTCCGCTTGCGCCCCCAGCCGCACCGACGCGCGAGGGCACGCCGTCGCGGTAGCCGCCGCCTCCACGCACCGTAGCGCTGCCGTTGCTGTTGAGGGTGTGGTTATACTCGCTGCCTTGATAGTCGGTGCTAAGGAGTCGGTGATGCGGGTTATTGACGCTGTTCGTGTTGTGAGCCCCGCCGCCAGGCTGCATGCTACCCCCATTTGCAGGAGGGTAGTACATCTGTGCTGGCGCGAATGAGAGGGGGTAGGGGTAGAGCATGTTTCGCTGCTGTGGATGCTGGGGCGACTCTTGCTGCTGCTGTTGAGTGTCAGATGCATAAACGGGGTTGCTGTCCATTCCGTTGTTGAAGTAGCCAGCTGCGGCGGCGGCTCCTCCGCTCGTATTGCTGCTGCTGTTATGATGAACACCGCCGATGCTGTTGCTGTGGTGGTGGTGAAGGGGAGTGTAGCCGCCCCCCACCTGCACTTGCATCATCGCATTGCCGCTGTTCATGAGATAGTTGTTGGTGGTGACATTGTTGTTGATGTACAGCTGTGCGGACATGGTACGTCTGTGAAGCGGCGGAGACGGCTGTGGGGGCTGCTTTGGTTGCTGTGGCTGTGGCTGTGGCTGCTGATATCCTCCAGCTCCACGTCGGGACGCGGAGGTGGGGCGCATACTACCTCCGTTGTTGAGGGTCGTATAGCCACCACCACCTTGCTGCTGCACCATCATTCCTTGAGGCATGTAAGTCATCTGCGGTTGCTGCTGCTGCTGCTGTGCGTGCATCGTGCGATGCTGGGCCAGGTGTGACGGAGGCATGCCATTTCCGCGTGAGCCGCCGCCGTAGTACCCGTAAGGATTGCCTCCCACGCCGCCACTGCTGCCGTCGCTGCCCATCATCATCATCATTTTAGGTGGTCCATAGGCGCCCATGTTGCCACCACAGCTATTACCAATGTTGCTGCTGCCTGCCTGCTGCAGGTACTCTGCGTTTGCGGCGTAGCCGTTGGCATTCATCTGCGGTGTCGGCCGTGGCGCTGGGCCGCCATTCCCAATGCCGCCACCGCTGCCCTCCTCATGCGATGCGTTTCCTGGCGGATAGGCGCCGTAGCTGACGTGGCTGCTCGTATTGCTGCGGTTGCTGTGTTGATGGGGGTGGGGCGTGCTCCCGTCGCCGTAGCTACGCAGCGCCGTAGCAGCCGCGGCGGCCTGGCGAGCGGCGGCGTCTCCACGCGATGGACCGCCGGTGGTGGGGGCGGCCGCCATGGCAGGGGACGGAAAAACCGCATTCGCTGCTGCCGCGCCTTTTGTTTCGCCGGTGCTGGAGGCACCGCTGTTGTTGGTGTTCGCACCTGCGGCAGCGCTGCCTTCTTCAGCCATGCTGTCGAAGGCGGCGGCGGCAGCAGCAGCAGAAGTCTTCTTCTTTGCCTTCTTCTTGCGCTTCTTCGGAGCGGATGCTGTCGTGGTGGCCGGACTTGTGACGTCGTCGGTGCACGTCGCGCTCTCCGGTGCGGTGGACGAGTCCGGGGGCGGCGGCGAGCAGGCGAGGAGCCGCGAAGGTCGCGACGAGCTTTTTTTGTCGCCGTTGTGCTTGTCTTGTGGGGCTCCTTCACTTTTCCCAGTTGCAGACCCTGTCGCTGCCTCTCCTCCCGCCTCAGTAGTTGGCGGGGGAGGGAATAGTGATGTCCCCGCAGGCGGGTTAGACAACCCGGAAGCACCCGCCGCAACACCGCCAGACGAGGACGGAGTTGCGACTGCCACGTCCAACCTCCTTTGCACCTCGCGCGGCCCCTCCTGAAGCGAGGCGGCGGTCGTGGTGGTGCTGCGGTCACTGCTGCCACGTCGACTGCTCCTGCTCATCGTGCCCACCTCATTGCCAGACGCACCGGCGCCGCGCCGTAGCGGTAAATGCGCCTCTGCCGTCGCCACGGCAGGGTCGCCGGCGTCTCTTGCGGCGGCGTAGCGAGGTAAGGCGAAACCGACATCCCTGCCAGCCGGGGACGCCGGCGGCGGTGGCAATGACGTGCTGCGGGCGCGGGTGTGTTTGACGGGGGAGCCGCTCGAGGACTCTCCCTGTGCCGGCAGGCGCGGCGAAGAGGCCGGGCTGCCGTCTCTGGTGGCTAGCAAGGAGCCGCCGGTGGCGCTGCGATCTGGATGTTGCTGCTTTTGTAGTTGTCGCTGTGGGTGCGGTGTCGGCTCCGACGCTGCTGAAGGGAGCGTCGACGTCGGATGCCGGTTCGCGCTGCCGCCTGCGCCTCCTCCTTCCGTTGCGGTACTGCCGGTGTTGGTGGTGCCTTCGAGAAATACAGAAGAGGCCGAAGCACTCGGTGCTGCTGTCGAGGCGGAGGCGTTGCTCGGCCTTCCCGACGAAATATCCGTCGCGTCTGCCGTCGTGTTTGCCGGCTCATCTGCCGGTGCATTCGCGGGAGAAACTTTTGAAGCCTTGTGGGGCTGCTGTTGGTGGTGGTGGTGGTGTTGCCTTGTTTCCTCTTTACGCGCAGAGTTCAGCAAGGACGGTGCCGGTGTCTCGAGCTGCACGGAGGAGGTGCTGCCGCTGCTACCCAGCCCGTTTGATTCCCCCGCTACTACGACGGAGGTGGTGGTGGTCGCCGCTGTCGAGCGCAGCTTCGGCAGTCCCTTCACAGGGCTGCCTCCCTTGCCTTTCGCATGCAGATCCTTCATTAAGTGCGAAGCAGCCAGCTTGGAGTAGTAGTACTATTCCTCGGCTTATTTCCGTGTGTGTGTGTGTGTGTGCTCACGCTTCGCAGCACAAACGACAGGTCAACGCTAAAGAGGAAATGCTGGTTGCGTCCACGGAAGAATAGGAAATAAAACACAAAACATACAATTAGAAACCGTGCGAGAAAAATAGCCCCTGCACCTTTAAAAACTCAACAACCAGGAAGCCAAACAGGAAGGAGCCCCAAATATATATATGCCAGTTTCACTGAGTTGAAGATATGGAAGAGACGCTTAAGACCTCCAACAACCACCGCAACTCTTGCCCGCAAAGAATGAAATTGATCACGATGACCTGCGCTGCAGCGTTCGACGTAAATTATTATCCGCGCTCCTTCTTCGCTTCCTCCCTTTCGTTTTCGCGTTTCAGGAGAACTAAACCACCACGGGAAAAGAAAGAACTGCACAACTACTCAGGGCCGATATGATAGATACAAGGAGTTGTGTGGGGGGGTTTTGGGTGGTGTGTGTGCGTGCTTATTAACTGGAACCTGGAGTTTTATGCGATGTGTTAAGTTAGACAGTTCCGATAAAGAATGATCAAAAGAAGAAGCAAAGGGGAAAGAAAAGAAGAAAGGAACGCCTTCTCGTGCGTTCAGGTGAGCGAAGAATCTCCTCACCTTCGCGGCATACACGCACACGCACACGCACACGCACCAACGAAAGATAACGAAGGAAAAACAAGGGGGTGAACGGCGATCAAGTGCCGCACAACAGATAGAAAACGAAAACCCCCACACCTATACCCAGCCAACACCCGCGAAAACAAAACGACAACACGCCGCGACAATGCAAAAGAGCCGAAAATATATTTAAATATATATTTCCCTTTTTATATAACGGATTGAAAGAACAAGAGAAAGAGAGCAATGAAGGAAGTGCAGATAAGAGAAGAACACAAAAAGAAATAGAAGAACACAAGCAGGAAAGGAAAAGGGGGGAAAAAATTGCCCTACTGTGCCTCACAGCACAGGAAGGAGAAAGGAAAGGGAAAATGAAGGAAAGAGTTGCGTTAGCCCGCCAACTTACAAGGAAAGAGCTGGCCTACGCACCACAGCTATGAAACACACAGCAGCAATAGCAATAACAGTAAGAATAATAAGTTGTGCACTACGCCCTCAAGACGCGAAGAGTCTGAAAGAAGAATATATATAAATATTACAAACTTCCTGAGAAGAGTTTTTGCTTTTTCCCTTTCGAAGCGAGTCCAAACCGTGTTTTTCCCTTTCAAAGAGCTCTGCACCTTTTTTTCTTTCTTTCCTTTCGATGTTCTTTGTAATTCTTATTTTCGCGGATACTGTCCCGCACAATGAAGCAAAACATATTATTTTTTTTTTAAGTATGAAAGCAGCGTTTATGCGTTTCCGAGGCAAGATGCAAAAGGAGAGGCGGAAGGGAGAAGAAGAAGACGACGAAGTATCTGAAAGGCAAACCCTGCTGAAACGAGCAGTTGTCATTTGCCGATGCTGTTGTCGCGCCCTTTGCGGCCTTCCGCACACGTCTTCCACGCGGCGCAGCGTCATACTGATGTGTTGCGGCACACAGAAAGAGAAACATACAAGAGAGTGGTACGCCACGCATTGCCCTTGAAGGAAGGCAACGTATTCGTGGCCTGACGGCCGTCAGAAGGGGAAAACCCGCCTCACCTGCCGCTGGCGACGAGAAGGGAGACGTACGTGGCACGGCTCGTTTGAATCTCTTTCACTCCGTATGTGTGTTTGTCGTTCACCGGTGCGGTGTCGTACACAATCTCGAATGACAAGAACGTGAGAAAAAGGGGGGAAAAGCAAGCGCAAAAGGGAAATACCTTTTAAAGCAAAAGGTAGACGAAGGGGGGGGGAAGAAAACGATGAAGGCCACGTAAGACGGGAAAAACAACATGAAATAGCGCAGCGACTATCAAGAACAAAAAACACACCTCTAAAGTACCTCTAAAAAAGGGTCTGTAAACGCCATCTCAGACGACTCTACAAAAACAGGGGAAAAAATAAAGTGAAGGAAGCGGTACATGTTCAAAGCCTAGGTGAAGACAAAGCTGTAAGTGTGGGTGTTGGTGATGATCTCCTTTCCTTTTCCTCCTCTTCACTTGTTATGCCGGCGTCACATCAGATACTTCATCTTCTCCAACACCTGTGGGTACTTCTGCGTGAGGAGGCGCATGTCCTCCATCTGCACATAACCCTGCTTGCGAATATCTAAGAAGCCCATGAGACGGCGCGCCTCTTCGTCGATCACGCGTCGCACCTCACGGTCGTCGACGTCGTAATCGCCTACGTAGCGCGTTGCCGCCGTGATGACGGATTTCATGTCCCCCAACGACAAGCAGCCATCGCCGTCGTCGTCGTAGGTGTTGAAGATAACGTAGAAGAGATCCTCCGTGCTGTACACGATCGCAACGTGGTAGATCAAAAACTTCTTGAAAGTGATGATGCCAGCGTTGTCGAGATCGTAGCCGCGAAAGAGGTGGCGGTAGTAGTCACTGCCATCCTCTGCGGCAGCCGCCTCCGCCGCCGCCTTCCCCTTTGCTTTCCTGCTACCGTTGCTGCTACTGTTGCTAAGTTTATCAAAGATGCCTGGTTGGTGACGCTTGCGCTCCTCCTCCCGTATTTTGCGATCCTTGAACACATCGACGCCCTCGATGTACTGCTTGAAGAGGAGAGGGGTCATGACACCGTCAGGCGCTGCCTTCATAAAGCGCGTGTGAAGGAACGCGATGGCTTCCTCGGAGAGGCGATCCTTCACCACCTCCCGGTAGTCGTTCATCTGCTCTTGCGAAATGCTGCCGCCCATTTTGTGTTTCGTGTGGGCGGGTGCTCCGTCTTTGTTGTTAGTATTGATGTTGGGTGACGGAATAGTTGTCGACGGCTTACTCCGTTTTGCCGGTGGTGATGTGAGCTCCGTCGCTGGGTCGACGAGCGGCTCCCTGCACCGACGAGAAACGGAAGGACTGCGTTTGACGGGGGCACAACGAAGAAAAAGGGGAGGGAACGGAACGAAAGAGAAGATCGTCACGAAGGCGGCGGGGGTGAGGAAGGGGAAACTATATGGGTAGATAATACCCACAGAAAAGCATTCGGAATAACCTACGCCTTACAACTTTATCACCTACCAGTTAGAGGCACAGACCGATGCCGCACCACAAGCACAAAGAGGGAAAGGGTAAAGGGAGAGGTAGGACGCATAATTTCCAGGCGAGGTTATTCCATTCGCAAGCTCCAAAAAAAAAAAGGGGGGGGGGCGGGCTCTACCGGATAATTCGACTACACTTTTTTTTAGCTGCACCGTTCCAACGGGAGAAAAGAGAAGTGAGTGCCCGCTATCTCGACACAGTATCCGTTTTTGCGTTCCGTCTCCTATCGCACGCAGGTGGGATTTGGCGCCGCTTGCTGTCGCGCTGAGGTGTTGGCCTTTGTCCGCCGGAGTCGCCTTTCACGGCCCCGGTGGCACCTGCGCACCGCCTACCTTAACAAAATAGATCTTTAAAAAGGGATGTGTGACTTCTGAGAAGGCCACATTCGAAAAGCTGAGAAAGAGGTGCGGTTTGGGTGGAAGGCACACCCACCTGCACGGCCGACAAGCACCACCGAAGTAGTTGGTACTTGCAACAACAAGAACACGAAAACAAACCGAAAAATAAGAACAGGCCGGATACGGTGAATGTGGAAGGTGGCGACGGCGTCGTGCAGCGATGAAGGAGAAGTGTATTCAAGCCAACGACACAACAATATAGATTGTCATTTACTGCACATGTTACACACCCTACGTTTCGCAGCCCTTCTTGGCCCTGACACTCAACACACGTTGCTTGAAAAGACAAAGAAGAAGCGAAAAAGTGGTACTACTTGACGGTACACACGTCGTCGTCGTTGTCGAACATAACAAACGCGTTTAATTGTTAAAGAGCGAAAAAAAAAGAGCGCACCACCGAAACCGTGATAGCGCGTCTCCTCCCAAAACGGGTTCGCCTGCCTCCTCGGCAGCTCTCGCGATGGGTCGTTTCTCTTGGCTCGCGTGTTACTCGTTCTCCTCCACGTCCGAGTCCGGCAGCGCCTTCCATCCACGCGTGGAGGTGACGCGGTGCCGCCTTGCAGGTGCACCTGTCACCACCACAATCGGCGCAGAACGAGCCGGGGTGCGCCTCGTCGTCGCCGCTGCGGTCTCTGCCACCGCACCACCAATAGGCGGGCCGGTCACCACCGCGGGCTTCATGGGCGGCGTGTCCGTGGAACTGCCGCCGCCGCGTGGAAGGGACAGCGGGGTGGACTGCAACGGAGGCGGGGGCAGTGCCCCGGTCATCACCCGCGGTGGCGACACGGAAGACGAAAAACTTCCGTTTAGCAGCGGGGTCGACAGCGCGGAGGCGGCGTCACGCTGGCGCTGCAGCAGCCGCAGCTCCGACTGCAGCGCGCGTATTTCTGCCTGCGCCGCCTTCTGCGCCTGCCGCAGCGCCTCTTCCTTTTCTTTGGCGAAAATGCGGTGGAGGGCGGTCGCGCGGCGGTGGCGGAGGGCGACTTCTTCGTGGTGCCGCTGGCTCACGAGGAGGCCGCGCTGGCGTGCCTCGTCCATGAGCAGCAGCTGCACACGCCGCTCGACCGCACGGGTAGTCGAAGGAGCATCTGCGGGAGTTCGTCGCTCTCCCTTCACGGCGCTTGAACCCGCTGAGCTGCGCGCGTGTCTTGCAGACGATGTGTTCAAGTCACTAGCAGCAGCAGCAGCAGTGCCTTCATTGCTGTTCCTGCTGTAGACGGTGTGGAAGGAACCTGTCGACCCTGGCCGCACGGGCGAGGCATCATTTGCTAGTGGAACGACCGTCGCGAGGTCGGCGTTCCCTTCCACGGAACCGCTGTTGTTGACACTGCTGCTTTTCCGTGGGTCTGAGTGCCGGTGCGCTGTGAACGCCACGGAAGGGTTCAGCACAGGCCAGTCGTCGTCCTCCGCGACCTCATTCGCAGCCTCGCTAACCTTCCCTGGAGGTAGTGCATGCCCGCTCTGGCGCTGCTGCTCTCCGTCCTTTCCCTTCTCTACGCCCTGCGTTGCTCCCCTCGTTGTTACGAAAGATGTGCAGAGGGCACGACGAGTTGCCTGCACCTCCCGCAGCAGAGACACGCGATGCCGCTCCTCCGCATCCTGCAGGTGCAGCACCGCGACCATTTTCAACGCGCCCTGGACGAGCGAGCGCCGCTGATTCGCCTCGTCCGCCAGCAGCGCCGATCGCCTTTGGGAAAGCCGCTGCACATGGTAGCTGTCGGCCGCCTCGCGCCCCTTCAGATGCCGTCGCTCACGTCCTTCCCGCCACTCCATGATACCTCGTCCGCGTCCTTCTTGCACGAGGCAGCCCAGCACACACCCGTCTTTCTGTGCCGCGCTGCTGATGCTGCTGCGCCGCGCCCATTCCTCCATCATCAGCGCGGCGGCCTTCTTCTTAAAGGCGGTCTCAGCGAGAAGGGTAAGGTGCTGTCGCTGTAGGCGGCGCCAGGCGAGCTGCTCTTCCCGCTCGATGAACTGCTGCCGCTCACTCGTCTCGTCCGCCTGCACGTACATCAGCAACTCCTCCTTGGTGAGTCGAACATCTTCCTCTGCGGCTGCGGCAACAGCAGCGGCACCGTTGGTTGCGTTCCGTCGCTGCTGCTGCTGCTGCTTCATGGCGCGTGCAGCTCGCTGAAACTGTTGCCCCTCCTCTGTCAATCGAACAGTCCGCTGTCGCCCCTTCTCATTGGCGAGCCACTTCGTCCGCTGCTTCTCCAGTAGCTCCTTGTCCGACTCCGCCAAGCAAGGGGTGACGCCCACGGGCTGCGCAGAAGCCGCAGGAGCCGTCGAGTTCGTCTTGGGACGCGGCACCAGCTTCGATGTCCTTGCCCCGTCCACCACAGGACGAGTTCGTGCAGACGAAGAAGAGGCAGAGTCTGCTGCCACGCCGCTCATGACTGGTTTGGTGCGAGGTGTGGTAGCGGAGGGGAACGCGGCGGTGCGTGTGCTGTACGCACTGGTCAATCCACGCGGTGTTGCGTGTTGCCGTGGCGTCGTTGTCGTCTTGCTGTTGTTCGTGTTGTTGCTCGCAGCAGCCGGCGCAGCAACTGGATCCCGGCTCGATCTTCTCGGGGAGTGGGAGTGTCCATTTAACCTGCTGGGCCCCGTTGTGGCTGCGTCGGAAGGCTGTCGCGGCGATTCGTAGCCGGAGAAGGATGCTGCGCGCCCGTTTGCCAGCTCCTGTTTACCGGTTCGAGTATTATGATCACTTGTGCTTTTGGTGTTCCCCTCCGCTGCTGTCGACGTAGTGCCGAGCTCTGCGGCTGTAAACCCCATAAAAAGGCTTGTCTGCGGAAGACTTGAGGCCGCTGCGTCATCGTCATCCTCTAGTATCTCTACCCCCTCATTACGGCTGCTGCTGAGGGTGCTGGTGTGCAGGACGTATACGCTGCCCTCCGTGGGGCTCGTGAGAGGGGTGAACCACACATCATGACCGCCACCACCTCCGCCATTCTCCCTATGTCTTCTCCGGTCTTCTTGGTTCTCCTTAGCGGTGGAAGTCGGAGTGGTATCGCCAAAACGATCGCTGTTGCGACGACCCGGTGAGGGCGTCGACGGCCGTGTTTGGCGCACTCGCGGGGTGCCGCTACGCGCAGGCGTGTTCAACCGCACGGTGTTCGGTGTTGCAGGCGCGTGACGACCACTCAGCCCATCGTCTGCTGCCACTCCGGTGGCAGCGCGCGGCGTGACGTGTCCGGGTCGCGGTGTGGCGGTGCGACTGCTGCCCTCCGCCCCGCGAAGACCACCGCCGTAGCGAGCGCTGCTCGTGCCAACGGTACTCGTACTGCTGGTGCGCTTGGCGGTGGCCGCGCAAGTGGCCATGCGCGGTGCAAAGCTCCGCTGCTGTTGCTGCTGCTGCCACCGCTGTTGCAGCAATTCCTCTTGCTTCTCCTGCTCTCTGCGCAGCGCAGCCCGCTCCCGCTCCCGCTGCTCCTTGCGCTCCCTCTCCAGCTGCCTGCGCAGCTCCTGCTGTCGCTCCTTCTCTCGCTTGCGAAACAGATCCTGCTGCGCTTTGGTGTAGTGCGACTTCGCCGCCGCCGGCGCCCCCTGCGGTGCGGCTGAGGAAGGACGCGTGCGGGTTGTTGCGCGCTCCGCCTGTTGTCTGTACACATCCTTGTAAATGTCTGACATAGCCACCGGACTCACGCTGTACGGGTTCGAGCCGAGATGGCCCGGGGAGGCATGGCGGTTACTACCCCCGAGCGCTACACGCAGCGCCACATCGTATTTCTTCTTGTGCTCTGGGCTGGCCAGCACCTCATAGGCGCGGCTGACCTCGCGAAAGCGATCGGCCGCAGAGGGGTCACCGATGTTTTTGTCGGGGTGATTCTTTAGCGCGAGAGCCCGGAACGCCACGCGCACCTCCTCGCTCGAGCTGAAGTTGGCAATGCCCAAGACTTCATACAGCCGTCTGTCCTGCAAAATAGATTGCGGCAGAGAGACGGAGCTCATCGTGAGAGAGAAGAACTAATACCGCTTTTCTTTCTTTTTTAAGGACAGCGAGAGTCAAGCACCGGACGATGGTAGAACGAAAAGGAGAGGGAGAAGCGAATTCAAGAAATCGCTGTTGGCACCTGCCGCACCGACGTAGACAGATGTACAAAGGAGGGAGGGAGGGAAGGTGCGCTTTAAGTCACGAATCGGGGGAGAAGTGCTCGACTGTGTGAGTTTTAGAACATAAAAGAAGGCAAGGAAGATCTCTCTCTCTGTGTGTAGAGAGAGTCTACACCTTTTCTTTAATTTGTTTTTATTTGATCAGATGTGCGCGCGTGTGTGTGTGTGTGACCTCTCGCCGTCGCGCGAAATCTAGTTACGCCAACAGCAAAAATGAGACAAGGCAAAAACAAAAAGAAAAACGAGAAGTACGCAAAAGTCGAGATCTTAACGAAGTTGCAGAGGCGTCCTCTCCCATCGACGTTGGGCGGAGGAGGAGGAGGAGGAGCTCCCCTTTCGCTGCTTATTTCCTTCTTTTATTAATATTCCTTCCAGCTCCACTTCAGGAATCGTCATCATCAAAAAATGGTAAAGAAGTTTTTTTAAAGACGAGGTATTCGAAGTTTGTGTTGGGTTTTCGATCGCACCGCAAAAAGGGAATATTTTTTTGTTGTGGTGGTCAGAAGACGGGGTGAAAGGAGGGGGGAGGGGTGAGTGGTACAAGTAAAGAGGATTTGCAGCACACGGGCTCAGGGTGGAAGAGAGCGAGAGCATGACATCACGCACGGCTGCTTGCAACAGTTGCAGCAAAAGAGGGCGCGGCGGCTCCTTTTTCCGAGTCAACAGAGATAGAGAAAAAAAAATCGCTTCAAATGCTGTAATGGAAAGCGCTTAGACAGAAGAAGCAGGCAATGTTTCTTTTTAACTCTTGTCGTTGAGGAAACAGCGAATACGCACGCGTAGGTGGTTGTTCTTAAAGCTCTCCTTTTCGGTCAGCAGAAGGGCCCTGTTTCATTGCGTTAACTTCTTTTTGTTTATCGTTGTTTTTGCAGTCGATCCCCAGAGCAGCTTTTCATTCGAATGCAGATTTAAAAGGCTTTTTCTTTGGATGTTGTTATGTCAAGCGAACCACCGCAATTCATCGCAAACAGACGAAAAGAAATAATAAGGCACACCTGCACGCAGACCAACGTGAAATATAAAAAAAAGAGGAAGAAGAATCTTCATCATGCGTTCCGCACTTTTCTACATGCTGACGTGTGAATAGGTTCTATCGTTTGTTTGTTTTTTTACTGTTGTTGGTGTTGTTTACTTTCCGCGAAGACGCACAGATGCTGTGCTCTCGCGCTTCCCCTCTCCTCCCCCTCCTCCGTTGCCCTCTTGAGTCGCGAAGCGGGTCAGTGGATCCCAAACGGAGGGAAGAGCGAGAAAAGGCGCTTGACAAGGCGGGGAGGAGGGGAGGGAGGGGGAGGAGCATATGAAAGAAAGAAAAACGAACATGCGTTGGCACACGCAAACACCCCACGCGCATGGCCGCTCTCCCGCTCCTTCCCTCCTCCCTCTGTAAAAGGCGAAAATGTAACACGTGCGTGAGGAGCAGTACATTCATGAGCATGAGAAAGGAGAAAGAAAACAAAAAAAAAGGGCAACAATAAGAACAGAAGGGCCGTATTAAATGGTTGGAGTAACGAGAGTGAGACCCATTACCACATCGAACGCTTAAAATTCCAAGTAGAGATGCTACGAACCAATAGTAGTACTAAAAATTGCTGTTGTTGTTTTTGTAATTCAAAGAAGGCACACAGACAAGACAAGAAAAAAAGCTATACAGAAGTAAAGAGAAAAAAAAAATCAAAGAAGAAGAGAAGCATTGTGCGTGTACCTTTAAAGCGCTGTGTTTCTCCACAGCAGCAACAACAAAACTGTTTTCAGACAGCAACAAAAAAGCAGCAGTAAACATTACCCTTCTCGGGATGGTTTCTTTTTTTTCTTCTACATACATAAGCCGTGAATTTCATTCGAATAGTTTTGAGTGTCGCGAGCTTCGTTTTCTTCTTCTTCTTTTTAATTTGCTTGAAAAATTTTTTATTGTTACGTGTTGCGATTCCACCTGGAGCTTCGGAGAGAGGAAAAAAACAAAGAATAAATACACGTGCAGAACAATACCAAAAAAAAAAGCTGATTTACAGCATAACAGGAGAATAACGAGGCCTAATTTTCATTTAAAACAGTGTTTGTCTACTTAACGTGATCCATTACAACATATATATATATATATATGAAGGACCACTGTTATTTTTTTGTCTTTCTTCTTCACGCCGGGTACACCGTAATTGCGGTAATATTGCCTGTTGGAACAGGTTAGAAGATGCTTCGTCATCTACCATTTTCCAGCAGCTCTACAGGAAAAAAAAAGGGGTGTATGGCGAAAAACCGCGGCTAAGCTTCGTTTAAAACTTTCAGAAAAAAAAGGGTCTCAACTAATAATAACAATAATAATAAAAGAGAAAGAGGAAAAGAGAGAAACGGAAGAGGATAAATGTGAACATTCGCATTTGTCTGTCAACATCATATTTTATTATTGATATTTCTTTTTTCTTCCGCCCCTTCTCCCTTCAGAGGGAGAGAGAAAGGTAAGTAGAGCGAAATCCACCCTCAGGCGAACACATGTTTATATATATATATATATATATATATATATATATATTA